ATCACAGCATGGCCTGGGTTGCAAAGGAGCACAGTGCTCATCTCGTTCCAAGCCCCTGCTGTGTGCAGGTCGCCAACCAGCAGCCCAGGCTGCCCAGAGCCCAGCCTGGCCTTGGATGCCTGCAGGGATGGGACATCCACAGGCTCATATAGAAGCTCATTTGCAAGAAATTATTCTTAAAACAGTTGAGTGGTTTTCTGTTGTTGTAGAGAATTGTTAGAATGAAAAATAGTATTTTGCAGAAGAGCTGCCTGAAATGAAGTTAGAGGCCTAATTGTGTGAGCTGCCTGCAGTGATGTTGTGCTGTACGGAGCCTGAAGATTGAGCATTGGAATGGCTCTCACAGGAGATCACTGTGGATGATCTCCTTCAGATAAAAGGTTATTTTATGCAAACTGACAACTGCAGTTCTGTGGCAGTGTGTGGTTCCGTGTTCTTCTAGGTGTGTAGTATGAAAATTGAAAGTAACTGCAGTGATCTTCTCCTTTTTTTTTTTTAATAGACATGTTATCAGGTCCTGAAAAGATGAGGAGAATGGTTGAAGTCCTGAGGTCTGATGTGGTGCGAGGACTGGGTGTGAAACTTCTTGAGAGGGTGTACAGCATTATGGAAGAAGAAGATGAAGTGAAGAGAGAGGTGAATGCTTTACAAGTCAGATTTTTAGAATTGTTTGATTTCTTACAAACCACTTCTTAGATATTGAGCTAACAGTGCAAACCTGAGTTCCAGAAAGTGTTGATGTGGTCAATGGCAGGCAAGAGCCTGAGTGTGTGTTCAACATTATAAAAATTGGTTCTGAATGTAAGTGGCATTCAGCTACACGTTCCTGAGGAACCAGAGGAGCTTTAGAACTGTCCCTGAGTTTGAGGAAGATGTGAGGGGTGTAAGTAATGGCTCTGTGCTGTTTCTCCATTAAGGGCTTCCTTTTGAACTACAACTTTGTGTCTTCATGTTCCTCTCACTTCAAAGTGAGAAATGGTTTAATGCCTGTTCCTAATGGAGGTGAATGAGCAAAATGTTTGACTCCTCTGATTAAAAGCTTTACTACAAAGAAAATACCTCATGAGCAGGCATTGCCAGCGAGTATTTAAAACTGCCAGGGGGGATTTGGAGCATCTCTTGCTTTCACAGTAAAATGGACTTTTCCCATTTCCCCCCTTCCATCTGTGCAATAAAACTTCACCTGCTGCTTTCAGCTCAATGCTTTGGTTGACATCCTGATTCCTTTTGCTGATGTTTCAGTCGCTGTTGCTTTTTTCAGTAAGTTTGCTGGTATTTTCTTTTTTTCTTCCTTGTGCTCTAAACAGCTGCAGTTGCGGGAGCACATGGGAGCCAAGTATGTGAGCTACAGTGCGAAGGCACGCCACCTGAAGTTCCTTGAAGAAAATGTGGAGTTGTGAGCAGAGCCTTCTCCTGAGCAAAGAGGACAGAGCTGTCCATCTTGTCTGATGGATTGGATCAGCTTGAAGAGCGTGTTTTTCCACTGACCTCATTGGCTGCATAAACGTGCAAAAAACCATTATACTTTGTAGTAATATTTTTCATGTTAAAATGCTTTCTCAGAAGAGAAACTTTGTTTAGTTTTTATTCTCTTAATTAAACTTCATTTTTTCTATAGGGCTGAAACACCAAGCTTTGTATAAAAGGAGTGTCCAAAAAAAAAGAAAAAAAGTGTGTCAATTTGTCATAGAGATAGAGATAGATAGATAGAGAGAGATAGATAGATAGAGATAGATAGATAGAGATAGATAGAGATATATATGACGTGTGTGTGTGTGTATATACACACATAGAGGGAGGGAGGTGATGGTGGAGGTGGAGGTGATGGTGGTACCAGAATCCATGCTGAGGCCACGGTGTGAGACACCAAACCTTACCCCAAGTATTTGTATAGAGTTAGTGGGGAGGAGCAGCTCTCACTTGTGGTGTGGGGGACAGACGGAAAGAGCAGGGATAGCACAGTTCACCCATGCACAGACAGCTTATTTCAAAGGCAAAAACACAAAACCTGAGGCAGCCTGCATCGCATCAGGTTGAAGGAAAAATGACTGGAGGCAAGAATACAAAGGAAGGGTGTGGATGGACAAAAGTCTGCTTGAAGCTGCAAATGAAAACCTTCCTTGCCTGCTCCACCCCCCAGGTGCCTCTCTACAACAGGTCTGAGGCCTGCATGGGGAAGGTGCAGCTGTGGGTGGGAGCAGTGAAGGGGCTGAAGCACTGGACCAGGGTGCCCAGAGAAGTGGTGGTTGCTCCATCCCTGATTTTTAAGGCCAGGCTCCATCAGGCTGTGGGCAACCTGACCTATGTGTGCATGTCCCTGTTCACTGCAGAGAAGTTGGACTAGATGGCCTTTAAAGGTCCCTTCCAACTAAGGATTCTGTGATCCTGTGAATTATTGGACATGAGATGGTTCATGAGCTTAGGACTCAGAATGGAGTCAAATGTTTGCCCAACCACTTTATTATAAAAAGTGGGAAGGGGAAAGAGAAGGAAAGGAAAAGTGTATCAGTGTGAGCAACGTTATACAATCATCGAATCCTTAGACCTGGAAGGGACCCTTTAAGGCCATCTGATGACCACTAGGTGCCCTTTGCTGGACCGGTCCTTGATTTTTACCCACACACTCTCAACCTGATGAGGGCTGTTCCTCAGGCACAGTTCTTCACAATCTATCCACTTCCTAACGTAGAGGGCAAGTCTGCCTCCCCTCCTACCCTGTCTGTCCCTTCTGGAAAGCCTGTAGTCCTCAATCAGGGTACTCCAATCATGGCATTCATCCCACCATGTTTCCATGATAGCAATTAGGTCATACTTTCCCAATTGCACCATGGTTTCTACCTGCTCTTTTTTATTTCCCATTCTGCATTCGTTGGTACAGAGGCACTTCAGCTTAGTTATTGGCCATGTTTCCTCCTCAGAGGAGCCTTCCCTAGTACCTCCAGAACAAATCTGAGGTTTTCCCTTACTGCCTCCCAAGGTGACAGCATTCCCACACACTTCTCTGTCACCTAGTGCACCTCCCACCCCCATCATATCTATTTTAAAGCCCTGCTAACCTTGTTCCCAAGAATATTTGTGCCCCTTCTACTCAGCTCCCATCCGCTGTCAGCATTCCCCCCTTCTCAAGGCTGTGTCCCAAGCCATGGCACCCAGAGCCCTGAGTACAACACCGCTGGCAAAGCCATTCATTCAGCATGTCCACCCTACTCCTTTTGTGTGGATCCCAGTCACCAACAGAGAGGACAGAGGTGAACACGACTTGCACTCCTGATCCTTCAGGAGTCTTCCCAGAGCCCTGAAGACCCTTTTGATTGCCTGAGGACTTCTTTTGCCTACCTCTTCATTTCCAGTGTGGAAAACCAGTAACGGATAATTATCAGAGGGCTTGACCAGGTGAGTGATGCTCCAGGCAACACCTCACCCCGGCACCAGGCAGGCAGCACAGCTCCCTGTGGGACGGATCCAAATGGCATATCGGGCCCTCGGCTCCCCTCAGAAGGGAGTCCCCTTTGACTACAGCTCTTCTTTTCTTCCCGACTGATGCTGTGGCAAAACGGGGAGCAGACTGACCACCTTGGGCAACCTCTGCTGCACGGCTGGACTCTCACCACCATCCACATCCCCCAGTGCCTCCAGCTCCAGGTCCTCATAGCTGTTCTGTAAGGGCACCTGGGAAGGTGGGACAGGCTGAGGGGCAGTCAGCTTGCTGCCCCGAACAGGGACTTGTTTGCATCCCTCTCTGCCTCTCAGGTCTCCCCTTCCCGCCTGACTGTGAGACAGCAGAGCATCTCCCAGCACCGCCCCTGCAGGGATGGCAGAGTGCGACTCCGCCAATCGATCCCATCCGCACAGTCCCGGACGTCCCTCAGCCTTTCTGCTTCTCCCCTCAGCTCTCCCACTGCGCTGAGCAGATCGCCCAGCTGCTCGCACCGCACACAGCCGGGATCCCCGCTGCAGCACTGACACGGCCGGGCATCCTCTGCAGCCCGAGACCTGAACTGCAGCATCTGCGGCACTGGCGTTCATGCTTTCTGAGTCTCCACGCTCTTTTTAGCAGCAGCTCGCCGCCGTGCAGTGACCACGGCTGCACCTCGGTGCGTCCAGAGAGCAGCGACCCGTTCACAGACCCACTCGTTGCTGAGCGCCCATCCTGCTGGGCGGCAACGCGCGCTGGCAACGCCCACTTCACGCCAGCCGCTCTCGCGAGAGCTGCCGGGCTGCTCTGTTATATCGCGGTTCCCTTTGTAGAGGAACCGGCAGAAATCCACCCGTATGTCGCGATTAGTCGCCTAAGCGGCGAACCTCGGCGATCGAGGTTGTAGTCCGGTTCTTCTTGGGTTGCTCACAGTGAAGGCTCATTCAACGCGCTTGCAGGGCTCCCACACGAGGCCCGGTTCCTAGCAGCCCTGGGTAGGCAGAGATGCCTCCAGCTGTGCGTGCATCTTACAGCCATCTTTGAGACAAAAGCGTTCATACCTTCGTACGGCGTCTCACGGGACGCTGCTTTCTCCCCCCACGTGAACCTGCTGTTAACAAAGCTGTCAGTGCCATCTCATACCCTACATCAGTTACAAGCCCTTAGGACTTCCCAAAACCGAGCATTATGTACCGTCTCACGTGACCTGGTTCAACCTGGCACTGCTGACAGCTTGTTTTTCACGTGGTTAGAAATATTTTCAAAGAAGCATAGTTGTATTTTGCCTCCTCAGTCATGGCAATAGCCAAACTATGCTCGATGGGAGTGTGGGCAGCGTTTTCCTTTTTGCTAAAACACTTTGAGGAGAATCTGAACTCAGCCTGAAATTCAGCACCCCATGCTGTTTTCCCTATGACTTCCCTTAAACTGCAGCCAAAGCAGAGAGGGCCTTTGTGCTCTGTGCAGCTCTTAATGAACTCATGACAGCATGCAAACCAATAAGGGGGAGAAACTACAATACTGAGACAAGAAGCATCCCCCAGGGAAAACATATTAAAGCTTAACAAAGTTAATTGCCACAGCGTACCATAACAAAGAACCGTTTTATTTAGCTTTTAGAATGCCTTTTTGGTTTTCTGTCTGCTGGCTTCTTATCCTCTGTGCCCGACTCCTGCACAGGCAGCCATTTCAGGGGGTTGCGGCGGTACATGGGCCATGGGGGGAGTGTCAGCTTAGAGAACAGGAACAAAACAAAACACGTAAACCACGGAGTTAAAGAAGTGCACAGCTTCTGAGACCTGAACCGCAGCACGGACATTCGTGCTTTCCATCTGGGTCTCCACGTTCCTTTTAGCAGCAGCTCGCCGTTTCTCTGGGTACCCAGAGAAACACACTGCCATTTCTATTACCAACAGAGTCAGATGAACTTTAATATCTAATTGAAATGGAAAATCAATTCAGTGTAGGCAGCAGCATGAAATTGCAGCATTCTGTAAAATCTTAACGTGTTGTCATGTAAGTTTAAGTACAGGACTGCTTGCTCTGCAGCTCAAAGAAAGCAGAGATGTGCACTGCTACCTGAATTAAATGGCAAACATTTGTGCTTGCAGCCCCGTCATTCAACCGCTGCTTCAGGTTAAATAGTGGATATAGTTTCTGGCTTGGGCACAAGAAAACCCCCTTACCAAACAGGATAATGCAAATCCGGCCATAACTATGTAGACAGTCCATCCAAACTGCTCAGTGACATACCCGAAGATGAAACCAATTACCTAAAACAAACCAACAAACACACGTTTTTGATAAATTTCAAGCATGCAGAAAGGCTGCTGAAGCCACGCTTGGCTGGGGGCGTGGAGGAGAGTTAAGAACAAATGATGGCGTGGGTTTTTCTGTTTGAAAGCACACTTGGTGCGCCTTTCTAACCTCGTCTGCAAAACTGAAGGCCAATTTCAAAACTAAAGAAATAAATACGGAACTAAAGCGTTAATGCCAAGCCAGGCCCAGCAACGAGAAGAACCGAGATCCTAAAATTGGAGAACAAACCCAAGGAGCCCCTCGTTATCACCGCGCGTACTTACGGCAGAGACAAGAATGATGCCCTGGAAAATCTGTTCCGCTAATTTCTGGCCCTTGTAGTCCTGTGGAAACAAAGCTTTCGCTCAGCGGATGCACCCCGCCGGGCAGCCGCCGCGGGGCCGTCCCGCCCCTACCATCTGTGTGGGGATGGAGCGGAACACGTCCAGCATAGTGGCGGGGCACGGCTCCTCGTCCTCCTCACTGGCCTGCTCCTGCTGCTCCCGCTGCTCTCGCTCCTCGTCCTCCTCACTGGCCTTGGCCTGCTCCTGCTCCCGCTCCTGCTCCCGCTCTTCGGCTTCGCCGACGTCGCCCTCCTCGCTCTCGCTCTCGCTCTCCCCCTCCCCCCGCACTTCAGGCTCCTCCCCGCTGATGGCAGCACACACCGCATCCTTGCCGCGCAGGCGCAGTTGTACCGGAAGACGCCTCCGCGCGCCGCCGGAAGTGCCCGCCCCGCGCCCCGTCTCTCGCAGCCGCTGTGCTCCGCCATCCCCCCGGGGCTCCGAAGCGTTTCCCGCGCTCTCGGCCAAGTCCCCGCCGTCGTCTGCGGCCCGCTCCCCGGCCTTGCCCCGGTCTCCGCCGTCAGCTGCAGCCAGCTCTCCGGAGCCACCCCGCTCCTCCATAGGTGCCGGCGCGGCGGTGGACGCCGTCTCCACGGCAACGGCGGTGTTGGCCGCAGGACCCCGCGGCGAGGACCCTTCGGGCGGCGGGCGCGGGGTGTCCATCACTGCGCCCGTTCGGACGCGGTGCCGACTGCCGGCCTACGGGCGGCTCCCGCCCCCTCTCAGTCCGCGCTCCCTCGCAGTCGAGTCCCCGCGGCCGCCGCCGGAGCACCGGGGGCCGGGCGCTGCGCCGTTCGGCAGCCCGTGGCCGGTAGGCGGCGCGGCGGGCAGCCCGGTGCCGCGGTGGCAGTTGGCGGAGGCGCGGGCAGAGCGGCGGAGTGGAGCCGGGCGTCCGCAGTTCCTCGGCCCGGCGCCCGCCCTCGTTGGGCGGCGGTTTCTCGGAGCCGTTCGGGGCCGTTTGTGGCGGGACACGGAGCGGCGGAACACGATGAGCCTGAGGAAAGGTGAGCTGTGCACGCCCGGCTGCCGCTTCGGTTCCGCTTCGAGCTTTGCCGACTCCTCCGGCCTCTCTCCACCCGTTCCCGTCGTCTTTGTGCTTTGAATCCTCAGTGAACGTCTCCATTCTCGTGGCGGCCATCGTTCTCTTCCTGCTCGTTCTGCACCACAACTTCCTGGGCCTCAGCGACCTCCTGAAGCGCGAGCTGACAGGTGTGTGTGCGCCCCGTGCCCGGGGCTGTGCGATGATGCAGCTCTGCTCTCCTAACGGGGCTCCGTCCCTGTGCCTCTGCCCCCTGTTGCTGCCCTCTGCCCTTCCCAGCACCACAGAGCCTCTCCACGTCCCTGTGAACCCCCGATTCCCCGCTTTCCAGCTCTGTGCCTCACGTTGCTGATGTGTCCTGGAGTTATATGGGCAGCGTTACAAAAGCCTGCAGCTTTTGTAACTCCTACAGCTGATGTGGCCCTGCATTTCAGCTGCCGGTCTCCCGTTTTCCTATCTGTGCTGTGAGGATAAATTCTTGCTGCTTCAGCTGAGGTAATGGGATCTGTGATGCTTGGAATAAAACTGGGCTGCGTGTGACGCCTTGATAGTTGGGCGGAAGAATCTTGCAGCAGTGGTGGTAATTTGGAATATGGGGTTTTTTGTCCATTAGTTTTTACCTGAAAAGAAACAAAAGTAGGAGGGGGAAGGTCAGTGTGACTGGTGGGGGGTGGTTGGGGTAACAGCAGGGAGGAAGGAGGGTGGCTGTAGCTGTGGCGAACGGGACCCAGGGGGAGCATAGCCTGTTGTAGCTGGAGCCGCCACGTAGCACCTTGCTGTGCTGTGTGTGAGCACTTCAAGCAGTTACACGCACTGTATTTGCAAGCGGGATGTTTCCATGGATGTTAATGGCTTGGATTCTCAACACGGGGTCTGTTGTGTGTGTGTTTGGTGCTGGGCTCCTCTGGTCCACGTTTCTCATCTCAGACATTGAGGCAACTCGTGTGATAGAAACAATTCTAGGGAGGGATTTAGCATGGTAATAGTTCCTGCATTTCACTTACGGAAAACAAGCATGTGCTGCCATTTGTTCTCCACAGACTCCAATCCGTTAGGACTTCAGCCTATAGACTTCATACCTGCTGCTCCCCAGAGGCTGACAGATGAAAGGAATGATAAGGAAATTTCTGTGGTCATTGCAGCCTCAGATGAGAGGCTTGGAGGTGCAATTGCAGCCATGAACAGCATTTACCGTAACACCAGATCCAACGTGGTTTTCTATATTGTTACTTTGAACGACACTGTGGACCACTTGAGGTAATGTTTTTTTTTCTGTTGTTAGCTTCCCACAGTCCTGTAAAACCAAAGTCTCTTTGAAAAGAGCTGAATTTGCCTGATACTGCTCTCCTGCATTGCTTACTGTCTTGTCTGCTGCTGCTCGCTGCATCTTTTTGGCACAGCTGCAATGGGGAGTACCAGTTGTTCCTTCTGGTAGTGTTTCAGTGATGGAGAAGAGACATCCAGCTGGAGTGTGTCAGTGGAGGGCTTGCTTCCTGCATCTCACCTGACCAATTTAAATGCATGGAATCAGGTTTCTCTCTCCTTTCTCTCTCCTTTCTCTCTCCTTTTTTTTTTTCTTTCATTTTTGCACAGCTCTGTTCATGCTGATGGTTTTCTAAAGCACCTGTAGTAACAGGATGTTGTATTTCTAAAAGAATAAGCAGCAGTCTCATACCTCTCAGTTGTCACAGCCATGTAGTGTGCTGATGGTGGGCATGCCCCTGCACACACATGTGAAACACTCCTGAAGGCTGATGCAGGTTGCTCTCTACTGCTATGTCTGTTGGGTAGAGAAAAGAGCGGCCAGAACGAGTTCTTTTTATTGGATCTGTTGTTTTTTCTTTCATTTAATCAAGTTTGTACTCTTCCTGTTTGCAGGCTGTGGCTAACAAACACTGCTCTGAAAAACCTGAGGTACCAAATTTTGAATTTTGACCCTCGTGTCTTGGAAGGGAAGGTGCAAGCGGATCCCCAGAAGGCAGACAGCATAAAGCCAGTAAGGATGATGCTGATTACCTTCTGCAGTTACTATTCAGTGACAGTGTGCTTTGATTTTAGTCTCCAATGGCTTTAGAACTCAGCTGGCTTTCAAAACCCAAAGAAATATTTTATAATTAAGTTTCTAAATTCCAGTAAGAATATTTTTCTCAGATAGCAAAGGCTGGTTTTGAATATCTCCATGTCCAGTCTTCGTTACCGATATCTCCAGCGAAACACAGCTGGTTGGCCTCTGAGGTGCCACAGATGCATATGAAGAGACAAGAAACTCAGATAGAGACTATTTTTAAAGTTAGTTTATTGATGCTCACAGGAAACCAAGAATTGATGGAACCTGCCCATTTAAAACAATTTCTAAGATATTGCCACCTGGTTTGTTTCCTGGATAGAAGTTGTGCACACCACTGCCACAGTCTGGAGCATTAATTTCACGTGTGTTTGAACCATTTTCCATGCAATTTTTTGCTTTTTGTGCATCCACAGTTAACGTTTGCAAGATTCTATTTGCCCAGTTTGGTACCTCATGCAGAGAAGGCCATCTATGTGGATGATGACATAATAGTGCAAGGTATGGGACCGTTTTATAGTATGCTTTTTGCCATGGTCTATGCTGGGTTCAGTGTGCCACCTCTGACAGCAGCCAAGCATTTTTGCTTCAAGGAAAGATGTAAAAACTTTGCAAGTACGATTGGATTAAACTTCATGTTTTTATCTGCTGAACAAAAGCTCACTCAGAGCTTAAGCAGGATGGCTTCTGATTTTTCTGTGTGGATTTCTATTTTTCAGATGATATCCTTGAGCTTTACAATACTCCACTGAAACCTGGACATGCAGCTGCTTTTTCAGATGACTGTGACTCTACCACCAATAAGGTTGCTGTCCGTGGAGCAGGGAATCAGGTTGGTTTTGTTCTGGTTCAGTTGTAACAATACTGCAGGCTCCAGGCTTTGGAGGAGGGCGCTTGGCTTTGTTCTTGAGGCTGACTTCCAAACACAGGAACCTGGCTGTTCCTACCCAAATCACGTGGCTCAGCTGATTGTAATCTTTCTTTTTCAGTACAATTACATTGGGTTTCTGGATTACAAGAAAGAAACCATCCGAAAGCTTGCGATGAAAGCCAACACCTGCTCTTTCAATCCAGGAGTTTTTGTTGCTAATCTGACAGAATGGAAATTACAGAACATCACGAAGCAGTTAGAGAAGTGGATGACACTTAATGTAGCGTAAGTGCCCCGAGGTGGGGCTGAGTGCAGGTCGGGAGCCGGGTCATGGTGGTGGCATTTAAGTGTTAAAATAAATGGTGGGCTGTGTGTTTATCTGTGCATTCCTGTCATGAGGCTGCAAGTGAAAGCCAGCTGATGTAGGTGAGGATCCTTTCCCAACTTCTTTCCCTCTTCTCTTTCAGAGAGGAGCTGTACAGCAGAACTCTGGCTGGCAGCATCACTACACCTCCACTGCTCATAGTGTTCTACAAGCAGCATTCCAGCATTGATCCCCTGTGGAACGTCCGACATCTTGGTATGTCTGAAATAGCTGTGGTGCTTGGCCAGGGGCCACCACCGCCGAGGGTCTGTAGCTGGACCCTCAGCTGATGATACAATAAGTGGATCTTTGCCTTCCGTGTGCTTGTGCTTTAAGAAAAACCACCTAATGTTCCTCTTGCATTTTGTGGGCTTAATCCTTCGTGTTCCTCTTTGAGCTGCCAGGCAGGTTGTTCTTCATTTCTCAAATACTTTTTGTTCCTTTTAATTGGAAGCAGTATTTCCACATATGTATTGTATATGTATCTAGGTGCCTCCTAGGCTTGTTGAGAGGAACAAGCAGTGATTCTCTGTTCTGCTACTGATAAAACCGTAAATCTGGGGGAGGTCTTTCTGTTTCAAATGAGTAAAATATACGCTGGTGAATACGCCCAGGCATTAGAAGGCTTTAAAGAACTTGGAAGTTAAAGCAGTTCATTTAAATACGTGCTAAGGCAGATCAAAGCGTCCTTCAGCTGCATCCAAATTACTTTCTAATTTGCTGATTTTTGCCTCCCATTCCCAATGAAAAATCTTTGTTTTCAGGTTGACAAATTGCATGCTTGTTTTTCTGCTGCCTGTATTTCAGACACTAACGCTTCTTTCTCAATAAAAGGGTCTAATGCTGGAAAAAGATATTCTCCTCAGTTTGTGAAAGCTGCCAAGCTGCTCCACTGGAACGGACATTTCAAACCGTGGGGAAGAACGGCTTCATACGCCGAGGTGTGGGAGAAGTGGTACGTCCCTGATCCTACAGGCAAGTTCAGCCTGATCAGAAGGCATCCAGAGGCCTACGAAGCCAAGTAGAGTACGTTTTCAGTAACTGTCAGCATTTTCTCAGGACACTTGTGGAGCCAAGCAATGGTTTGTTTTTTTTCACTGTTTGTACAAAGAACAGCCCTCACCTCCTGGAGCACAGGGAGATGCACTCACCCAGGTGTAGTGGTGCAGCTCCAAGCTGCACGGTTCCACAGGAGGCTCACTTTGCTTGTGTGACTGAGGGTGCTGCTCCAGCAGGGAGTGAAGGGGCCCCTCCACGCACCAGCGCTTCTGTGAGGGCATTTCTGTCTGCTGTGTGTCCTCCTGCTCTTTACTACGAATCTTCATGGGGAAACTGTTTTGTCAGTTATAAATGGTTCCAGAAACAAGAACTTCAGCTGGAGCTTGTACCGTGCAGCTCTGCGCAGCAATGTACTGTAATTAAGAGCTGCTTGGAGTTTGTTCTGTTGTTGTTTTCTTACCCTGTGAAATAGTTTCATCAACAGTCCTTTCTTGCATGAAAACTGCTTCCATCCATTCGTGTCAGCATTCCTTGCACAATTCTGCAAAATCAAATCTCGACTTTTGAAGGGTTGCTCAAGTGTTGACTATGCAAAAAGTGGTCTGAACTGCTAGTGCACACATTTTCCGTAACTTGTGGAGAAAATGTCTTAAAATAAAAGCTGATGTTACATTTTTGACATTAACCTCTGCTCCTGGCAGTAATGATTTGTGACTTGTTCTGATATGTGAAGCGTGCTTCATTTTTTAAATTCAGTGTTAAGTACTAATTGAGGTCAAAGCCAATTGATCTCATTTTGGGGGAAACAACCTAAGAATGTTCTAAGTATTTACTTCTGGGATCAGGCTCTGTGAAACAGGTCTGTGTTGATCCCAAGTTCCTCACCATTCTCTGCCAGAAGTCTTTCCCATTGTGCCCTTCCTGTTCTCATGCTTTGAATTCCCCAAGCAACAGCCTGCTGCCACCTTCTGCAGCTCACAGTCCATCAGCTTTTTTTACATTGCTGTACAGTTGGTGGCTGGGTGCTGGTTGTTATTAGCTAACATAGACCAGCAGCTACTGTGCTTACTGTTCCATTCAATACTAACTGAACTCAGGTTCTTGTTTTTATTGAATAATAATACTTGGGAGCAAGGTGTCAAGACTGGCTTGGTGTTTTGTGGGCTGCAAACCATCAGGGAGCTCAAGGGCTCAGTTGTGTGTATGAACATGTTTTAGTGCCTTGTAAGTGAAAGAGATCTCCAACTTTTCTTCTTGCTGCACGCAGTTCTGACTGCCCTGGGTGCTGGTTTGTTACTGACCCATGAAGTTAAATGTTATCTCTGTACCCCAGAAGTGGGGAGATGGTAGAACTGTTTTGCAGGGACATGTCTTTATTGCTGTATGGGAACTGCTGAGCCACGGCCTGAACCTCTGATTGATCACCTGAGGTGAGCACTGAGTCAGCCAGAGGAGCACAGTGAAAGCAATTCAGCTGGGCTGCAGGAAGGGATGGAGCCTGGCTGCACCCCTCCTAGACCTATTGAAGAGCTGGCTACCAGTGGGGAGGGATCTCTTCTGGAGATCTGCTCTGCTGAAGTTTTGTAAGTGAGCCCAGGATAGGGGTAAGCTTTCTATCTATTCTCTTCTTGTTATCATAGTTTCTGCTTTGCCAAACTCTTGTTTATTTTGTAATTATAACATCTTAATATTCATTGATTATACAATTGCACAGAGGAACAGGTTTTGCTTTAGTTACCAGTTAGTCACTGCTGCACTTCATCTTTTGTTCAAGAGTTTCCACCTCAGTGAAATCATTACAGTTACCACACTCACTTAACCTCTCCTAATGAAGCTACTGAACATATAAAGCCATGCCTACACAAAATGTTACAGCCAGATGAACTAAGCAGAGTTATTTAACCAGCCTTTACCTTCACTAAACCAGGAACACTTGCTGCCAGAAGGCACTCTTGTAGAGGTACAGCCTCTGCAACCCTGCAGGAAAAACTCTTTGCCTTTTATGAAGGGAGAATAAAATTTAATTGCTAGAATTAAACACTTACCATTATTTTTCAAAGAAAACACCCGAGACTTTGTAATTTTGAAATATTTTTGTAAGGCATAAAGACCAGATTAATGCAGTCTAATATTTTTTTAAATATGTTTATTTTTAAACAGGAATAAACGTATAGGATTTTAGCATCCTACAACTGTACAAATTCTGCAGCCATGGAGAGAGAGGCAGTATTGTATACGTTACTGGGGTCTTGGCAGCAGCTATGGTACATGGCATTCCTCCCCCTTCTGTAACAGAAACCTGTCTGTTCTGAAAGGCTTCTCTTCACACGTCTCATTACACGTAGTCTGTGTTAAAATCGTAGGCATCATCTTCACCCGCTGCCTTGTCTAAGCTGGATGGCAGTGAGTTGGCAAGTCCAGTTTCTGAGAAAAAGGAATGGTTTGTTAGTGACATGAATGCAGTACTGGAGCAGTGCGGGCTGTACTTTGTGCTGTGGGTTTTAGCACAGACCTGCCGTCTCATTTTCTGAATGTGCACCTCCTGTCTGTCCTGTTCCAAGCTCAGCACTCCCCGTCAGCTGAGTCCTGCCATCCTGCAATGGGTTGGAGAGGTCAGACACGAGTTTGCTCAGACATCACTAATGAAACTTCCCATGTAAATGAAACACAGAGGCTGAGGACAGTGCGTTTGTCCCAGCGCCCAGCTGCTGGCCAGGAACGTGCTGACTGACTAGGAGCAACACCGATTTCTTAATTTGCTGACTTCTCAACTGAGCACAATGCTCAGCCCTTCTTTCTAGAGAAGTGTGGCTCTAGAGGCTGTGTGTTACCCCAGGTGGCTCTGCAGTGCTTGCATGCTGCTCGTAACAGGATGCTAACTGGCTACTTGGTGTCAGGGCCCAAGCAGGTAGAAAACAAATGAAACCCTGGTTTACCTCCTTGACACTATTCTCTTCTTTTTCTTCTTCTTCTATAATATCTTGATCATCATCAGTCTCCATGAAATCCTCTTCGTCGTGGCTTGTTTCCAAATCCTCCCACTCTGATTCTTCTTCTACCGCCTTATTTCGCACTATTTTCCCATTAGTCATGCCAGCTGATTGGAAAACAATGCTGCTTGCTGGACTGGGGTACTTTAAAGCTGGGAAATATATAGAGAGCTGTCTGTTACATTACTGTTAGCAGGAGATACAATGTCTACCCATTAAAAGGATCACCTTCCCACATAAGCAGGGAGAAAAAGTGAGAACAAAAACATTGCTAGGATGAAGAACTTGGTCCTGAGTCTAAGATGTACTGAGCAGAAATATATTGTGTTGGTCTGACTAGGAAATGGGGGAGGGCAAAAGCATGAAAGGGCCCACAAGCAGTGGCTATTTAGAAAGATCAAATCAGATAAGCAGAAACCGAGAACTACTGGGGTAATCTAGCAGGGGTAATTTGTGTGAAGACAGCACCCAAGTCCACTGCTCTGCTGCCCTGGAATCCATTTCATTCTCTGAAGGTTTGTGCCTGCTGCATGCTGACACAGCCATCATACAAACCCCAGGACAACTCCCATTCGTGGTCTCCCATTACAGCTGCTCAGTGGCTCTCAGTGCTGGCAGTGCAGTACCTTGAACTGTGCTGCTGTTTTCTTCTTCCAGCTTCTTTAAATTAAAGCCCCTCTGCAGTTCAGCTATTTTGTCTTCTGTCAGGTATGGCGGCACGATCTGCAGTGCTGGTGGTTCTGAGTGGTAGCTTATTTTAGCCCTGCAAAAACCACATACGATGACTTAGCTGTTATCTTTTCAGAATAAAACCCAGAGCCCAAACCCCCCAAACTCCTCAACTGAACCACTCTTGCAGTATTATTTGTTTAGCAGCGGTTAAAGGACCGTTTAAATGGGCCTCGGAAGCTGTCAGTAACAGAACTGAAGATAGCCTGCTCTGAAGCACCTGAAGCACTTCAGCAAGTGCAATGATTCTGAATTCATTCATTCCACGCTCAGCTGAACACAGGAATCACTAAAGGTTCCAAAAAAAGAAACTGTTGCAAGATTCCTTCTTGATGGAAGAGAGCACTACAGGAATTCCACGTAATTTGCTTTTACTCTCTGTGTGTATTTTAATAGTTTAGAAAATTATCCTTGGGTGGTGTCCTCTCTTGGCCAAGCCAGCCTGATTGCTCAAAATCAAAAGCAGCCTCTCCTTTCTGGAAGCAGTTCTCAGGACTCAATGCTTCTGCTGCAGAGTCACAGCAGATTTAACAGTGTCAAAATCAAGGAGGTCAGCAGCACAAAACAAAATTAATAGCAGACATACCCTGTCCAGTCACAAAGCAGTGATTTAGCTACGTTCTCTATGTCGGGAACACCTCCTTTTTTCAGCATACCCCTTTTCTGAGCAAGTAAACTTAAAAGCTCTTCAGTGTTCTTGAAATCTGGGATACTGTAGAACATCATTACCTGGTGCAAAAGAAAACAGTGGGAGGAAGCAGTTATCACAGAACTGGAAGGGGATCAGGCTTATGTGAATCTATTTGAAACTAGAGTGAAATCAGAGTTGGATCTGAAGTCTTCACTGTAGTAAGAAGCATTGAAGTTGTCTTCATTTTTCACTCTGTTACGTCGCTGCCTGGTGATACAGGCAGTATGGTTTGTTGATGGATTTTTATTTTTCTTTAAATCAGCAAACTCATTGGGAAAACAAAGTGGCCAACAGGATCCTGGTGCGTTGCAACCACCTTCCACATACAAGGGTGAAAGGTCACATCAGCTTTGGATACACTAACCAAAGTTTGGTTAAGGAGAAAACGGTGCAGAACAACTGTGTGAAGTGAAATATCTTCTGTTATCGGCCTAAGAAAGCTAGAGAGGAGTTGAACGCTGTGAAAGGATGACAGGACTTACCTGCTGCTTATTGCAGTGATTCAGGACTGCATCCACTGCTTCAATCACGTTCAGTGAGCACGATTCCCCGCCGTGTATGATACTTCTCAGGGCCAGAGTCACAGCACTGTTGGTAGCATCTGCAACTATGCTCGGGCTGTCTGAAATCTTCACGTGTTTATCAATACGCACAACTTGCATGGACCTGGTCAGAGAAACGGGCCACGTCTGAAGACAAATCAAACTAAGGACCGATAGCAGCAAAGGCAGCAAGCCACAAAGCTCAGCATTGGATTGAATGCACTTCATACAGAATCAGTTTCAGTGCTTTCTCATCACGTGCTTTGTGCTGGACAGAAATGCAAGTGCACAGTAAGAGCAAGTTTATGCGCTGTATTCTCCTGTGGCAACGTGCCAGGATGAAAGATCACGTTCTGAACAATGCAAATTGAAATATGCATTTAAAACTGAACGTAGGCATGCTCTGACTGCTGCTGATGCACGGGAATTGTACACAACCAACTCAAGGTAATCAGAACTGACAGGAAAATAAACAGTTGCTAACACTCAGCTTACTTGGTGACACCTCTGGCTGGTCCAACATCACAAACACGATCCTTTTTAATGCTGTTGATTATGCTACTCTTCCCCACGTTAGGGAAACCTGGGGAAAAGTAAAAAACAGAAATCCTCATAAATCAGAAAACTCAGCTTATTTAACAGCTTATCACGTGTTTTTGGTAACATACATCTTCCGTGTGAGATCAGAGTTGGATCTGAAGTCTTCATATAGAACTCAGACAAAGTCTGTATCCTCATTTCTCACATTGCAATAGAAAGACATCACTGAATGTCACACCACAAACCTCACCAGATGGGAGGAAGAGGCAGCGTAGGCTGTGCAGTATGTAACCTAAAGCTGCTTTATCAGTTAAGGCCTCATAAAACGTGCATTCCATGGGTCACAGGCACTCTGCATTGAAGTACAAGACAGATCACTACCAGCTGAGGTGCTGAGTCTCAGCTGAAAGTGAGCACCCTGCCAAGAAGGCCCAGAAGCGAGTCACACATTGGGTGTTTTACTCAGGATACCAGAGCTCTCATGGGAGGAAAAGGAAACTTCTGCCATCTCTCCAAACTCTTACCTACTAACCCAACCTGAATGGCTTTGTTCTGAGTCCTGCCATACTCCTGAAGAAGTTTCATAAGGCATCCACTTCCAAAACTTTCCGTGTGTCTTGATAAATCAATACGTGTCCTTCTTCTCCGGAAAGTCTCCTGCTACAGGGTTCAAAGGAAAAGAAACAACAAAACAAACACGTTGGTCTTACATTTATTCATCTACTGTGACGCTTCAAACTCCTGTGCTTCGTTAGCTGATGTTACTGTGTCCTTCTTCTAAAGAAATGCAATTAGTTCAGTAAGAATTTGGCTAAGATGAATCTAGCAGTTAAGTGGTGGATAAAAAAAAAGTAGCACTCAAACACTTGAAGCAGCCTGAACAAACCTCCAGGGCTTGTTGTTTCAGTTCAGGCTGCGTTGCAGATGGGCTGTGTGAGCAGGAAGGAACCATGTACATTCATGGGGTGGAGTTCTTTGATCTGTACATTCACTCAATGAACTGTCCAAGAAAAATTCTCTCTTTTTTACACAACTTTAAAGCTGCTCTCTGTGTTTGGGCTTCTGTGGCATTTCACACCAGGGTCTATTTGACTACACTGTTACCAGAGTTAGGGCAGGTGGAGCAAAATGCATCAATACACGTTGTCTCAAGCCAGCATCTTCATAAAGCTGAGACTGGAACCCCAGGGAGCTTAACTCCTCGATAATCTTCCACGAAATAACAGAAACTGCGGCCTTTAGTAACAGTGAAGTAAGATGAATGCTGCATACCCTGCATCAGTTTACCTACAATCCAATGTGCAACCATCCTGGATAGATGAAAAATTCCTCATCTCCCTCCCCTTGCTGTCCTGCTTAAGCAGAACAGCCCACTTTCACTCCCCAGTTCAGCATCCCACGCACAAAACAATACATATTTCATCAGCACATATTCCCCAACTGCACTGTGAAGCTCAACGTGTGACAGAACATCCATTAGTTGAAGCAGTATAATCAAATACAGGAAAAATGAATTTTATAAAGAACAAGAGATCCTGCTTCAACGTGCTTCAACACATACAATGACGTGTATGATTCAGTCATCTGAGCCAGCACGCAGAGCTCTTACCATATTCCTGTCCTTCAGCAGCGTCGCTGATTTAAAGGCAACCGTTGGAAATTCCTTCTTCAAATAATTCAACCACTTCTCCAAGTTCTCTTTTGGCACTAAATCTGAAAAAAAAGAGCACAGACTTCTCCTCACTGTTGTGAATGTTGTGTTGCTGTCTGGAGAAATCTAACACGGAATCAGAAACCAGGATGGATCCTGTCCACTTTGCACATTTCTTTATGACAATTAACACTTGGCTGAACACTCCACAGCTTCTGTATTTGCTTTTATGTACACTTCCAGTACAGTACAGCCACCCACAGCTGCAGCTTTTAGTGTTTATTCTCTGCCCCAAGCAGAACATCCCACAGTTACATTTTCAGACCCTGTGTTTTTCATGTTGGAGTATCACAAGGAGACGGCAGGTACGAGGGGTGATGTTATGTGGGCTAGTCCATCATCCCTGCAAAAGCTATGCTAAGACAAAGTTCCTGTTGTTCTTTCACTCCTCATTTCCTTCTTTTTGCACTGCAGTTAACCCACTAACAACCAGCTTTCCCAGCTGATCTCATCCTCTTTTGTGTGGTTTCCCTCATACAGCAACGGGAGCCAAACTTCAAAGACAACCCTTGTGCCGATTTGCTGACGCTTAACTCATCTCAGTGGGTTCAGCATCGCTACCTGCTCACTTCATCTTTGTTCACATGAATGTTACTAGATCTCCACTTTTGGCTGACACTGGCCAGAAGTCATTGTAAAAGCAAGGGGCCAATGTGCAGCTACCTGTCTTGGTGTTTTCTCAGCAGAGGGAACGTGGCCACTTCCCTAAGGCAGTGAGCTCAGAGTTGGATCTTATGACTTCAGCAGAATCTGAGATTTCTTTACGTATTTCTTCACAGCTCACTTAAAACAGAACCACCCAGTGACTACAGTAACACTTCAAGAAAATCTGTTTCTTACCGATTTTGTTCAGAACCAACAACAGCTTTTTGTCTCCTCCAGAGCAAGTAATGGCTTGCTCCAGCTGGGGACACCGGCAGCCCATCGGATCTCTTGCATCTAAAACCTCCAGAACCACATCTGAGGTCTCAATCACCTACGTAAGGGGGAAAAAAAAGATTATAGAAAGAGAGCTTTCAAATAAGAGATGACTAGCAATTTGACAGATGGTAACTCTGTAATAGCCAAGCTGTAGCCTACAACAGTGACTACTGAATTTCACAGAACGTTCGGTAGGTGAGGTTTCTTAAGGCTGTTTGTTTCAACTCTTATCTTCTGAAAGGCAAACTGACAGAAAAAGGTGAAAATTGCTGCAGCTTTCTGAAGTCAAGAAATTCCTGGACAGGAATATGTCATAACTCAAAGAGCTCTCTGACTGGTCGCTATGTACTGACATTGGTCCTAGAAGTCTTCAGAACGCTCAGTATCTCAGTAGTCAACACCGGGCAAGACTGAAACCCTCATGGTTTTTACAGTAATATCACTTCAGTGCTGGTTTATCACGAGCAACCTTTACACTTCCTAGTCGTTGGGAATCAACTTTTTACTTGGATAGACAGCGATAGGACAAGGGGGAATGGTTTTAAGCTCAAGGAGGGAAGATTCGGATTGGATGGCAGGGTGAAGTTCTTCACAGAGAGAGTGGTGAGGTGCTGGGACAGCTGCCCTGAGAGGCTGTGGATGCCCCATCCATCCCTGGAGGTGTTCAAGGCCAGGTTGGATGGGGCAGTCTGGTCTGGTATTAGACAGGGAGGTTGGTGGCCCTGCCTGGAGCAGGCAGTTGGAACTTGATCTTTGGGGTCACTTCCAACCCAAGCCATTCTATGATTTTAAGTTGTTTCATTGCCTATCATCAAATTACATAAAATTATAAGAAGTTGAAGCTTCTTACTTTCTCAAGCTCACTGTGAAATGATTTCTTTGCATTTTTATCCAGCGCCTTCTTCGTCTTCTTTGCTTCAGACTTGCCAGAGGATTCCTGTATGCAAATAAAGCAGAAAAGAAATGATTTAACTGAGAATTACTCTATTATATTTGTGCACACAGTCTGAAGACTGCTGTGTTGTCTGAACACAACACGGGACTTGTAGAGGTGTAATTTTAGGATGACATCTTTGCCTCCACAAGCTTCATGTGACAACAATCACACTGGACACCAACCTTTCCCTCAGTTTGTTCCTGGATCGCAGCCGCACTCCTCTTGGCATCGAGCTTCCTCCTCTTCTCGAGTTCCTTCTGCCTGTCAAGCTTCTGCTTCCGCTTCAGTTCTTCGAGCTGATCGCAAACAAGCAAGAGCGAACAGAGATAAAATGCATGTGAGGGAGAGACAGGATGTCACCCTTCTGCCCACATGTACTGATTTGTGCAAAGGGATACTGGTGCAGCTCAGTTACACACACACGCACATGACTACACATGCATCAACGCGCACACGCATACATGCATACACACACGTGCACAGACATGCATGCAGATGCACGTACACACACGTGCACACGCACACACTTTTGCACTCACACATGTGTACACGCACACGTGCATGTACACCTACACCCACATGTACACACACACACACGTGCACATACTCGCACACACATGTACACACACGCACATGTACACACAGACACACGCACACACACACATACGGACACAAGTGCACGTACACTTGCACACACACGCACACAGACACAAGCGCTGCCGCCGCCGTTACCCGCTGCTTCCTCAGCTCGGCCTCCCTCAGCAGAGCCTCCTTGAACGGCGCCGCTCCGGGCACGCCGGGGTCTTTGCGTGGCTTCTTGCGGCCGCGTTTCTTCGCCTCCCTCCGCACCTTGCGGTGATGCTCCCGGATCTGAGCGCACACACGGGATTGTCGGCAGAGCCCGAGCGGCACCGCGCGGCTTCGCGCACCGCCGCGCCCCCCGGCCCGGCCTCACCTTCTTCTGGATCTTGTACCGCTTGTGGCACGTCAGCCGCTTGCTCGCCTTCCTCAGCTCTACAAAGCAAAGCAGAGTAGCGCCCGTAAGCCCCGCTCGGCCGCCTCCCACACCACCACCCCCAGCCACCCGTTCCCGTGCTCCTCACTCGGTCGCTTCATGGCGCCGCGCACGCGGATCCGCCCGCCCGCCCCTTCCTCCCGCCGGCGGGCGCTGCCGTAAAGCGAGGCGGCACTTCCTCGCGGAGGTGTCGCGCGGGCCGGGCGCGCTTGGCGGCCGGGCGGGCTTGGTGGCGGCGCGGAGCGGCGGCGCGGGGAGGAAGGCCGCGGCGGGCGGCGAGGGGCGGCGAGGAGCGGCACGGAGAGGCGGCGGCGGCGGGGTGAGCGGCGCTGTGGGCCGGGCGGCGGAGCGGGGCTGGGAGGCCGCGGGTTCCCTTTGTGTGGAGGCGGCGGCGCGGGGCGGGCCGGCGGGCCGCTCTTCCCCACCCCCACCCCTGCCGGCGGCCCGCTCCGCTGCTCTCCGTCCCGCTCCGCGGAGCGAGGCCCGCCGTGCCGGGACCCGGCCGCGCTCGCGGGGTTCGGCGCCGTCCGGGAGGAGCGGCCTTCGGAGCGGCCCGACCCGCGCTGCAGGAGGCGCCTCTCCCCGCTGAACGGCCCGCAGCCCGAGCGCCGCAGGACGAACCCGCTTCCCCGGGTTCGGTTCCGAGCAGAAGTTGCGTGAGCTCAATGAAGGCCGTCGCACTGCCGTCGAGCCGTGCGTTGTACGCAAAAGGGGGAAATCGGAGCTGGAGAGCGCTTGTAAATGGAAGCAGATCCGTCCGTAAAGAAGCTGTGTGGCCGGGCGCGCTGCGCTCCTTCCTGGCGGATAGCAGCCGTTTGCTCGGCAGACGGACGCAATTGTTGCCCGCCAGAGGCTGACCCGCGTTCTGGCCGCGTTCTGGCCGTGCCGATCGCTGCACCGTTGCCGTGCTGCTCTGCATCCACCTTATCTGCTCTGTAGCTCAGACTCTCAGATCAGATGTGCGGTGGTTCGTTGCTGTGCAGGTGGCTGGGAAACCAGCACCGCTTGTTGAGAAACGTCAGAGAAACCGTGACAGAAATGCCTCGTGTTCTGCATGCGGAGCTGCTTTCTGGACTTTCTGCTAAGGTTAAAAAGCAAAAGTTGCCTCCTGTTTGTTGCTTTCTGTCTGCCAACTTGAATTCTTCCATTTATTCTTTGACTTGGATAACCTATCTGCTGTCAGCTCTCTCCTCTCTCTTTCCTTGTTCTTGTCTTTCAGCTCTGGCTGTACTAACAGCACTGCTGACCTGTTGTTCTGGGTGTCCCCTTCTCCTAGTATCTGTGCTTGCCCACCAGACACTATGAGGAGACTGGCTTTTCGAGGTGCTGGTTGTACTCTGGTAAATCTGGTAAATTATTGATTGTATGTACACCATGCTCTCCGTTCTTCTGCATTAAGGCTTTCCCTTACTGTTAATTATTCCTACCTCGTTCTTATTCATCTAATTTGCATGCTCAACATTTTGTTGCTAACATAAATGCTCTCGTGCAGTTATGTTGTACTGCCATACCTTGTAACTTTCTAGGAGATCCCTTGATTTGGTACAGGCTGGGATAGATGAATCTGTGCTGTCCTTTGAGTTAGCTACAAATGGAGATGGTGTTACGATGCTGTCATTAGAAACCAGGGAAGAGCCAGCGACTTGGTCCATAAATCCCCATAGTCATTGGACAGTTGTTATCCATTTGTCACTGTTAAGTTGATAAATTAGAAACTGTGACTGAAACAAGAGTGGATTTTTCTGCTTCTTGATGATTGTGCCGTTCGTCATACACACACAGTGGGAATTGTGGTCACACGAGGACCCAGCCCTTTTCTGGCTTGAATCTTACACAAGGTGTTCAGTAGCAGTTCATGTTTTTGTTGGTCATTTGTCTTCTTTGTGGCGTCCTTTTTTATTTTGTGTTGGTTTTACAATTCGAGACAGAATGAACTACTTTTCTCCATACAGCTCTTTCCTATAAAGTAGCAGTTCTCACGTTGTGATCATTCATAGCTCGAGGAACCAAAACGTAAATGGTTTCAGAATGTGTCCTGGTAAAAGTTGCTGATACAGCTTTGTACCTGTAAGCCCTTGGTTTCTGACGTTGGTGTTGGTAGTGGCAGTGTAAACCTGCAGGGCCGTTTTGCCTTCCCTGTACTCCCAGCTCACGTCTGGTGTGGATGTAAGAAACACGTGTGACCCGTTGCAAAACATAGCTCACTTAATAGCTCTCTCTCGTCAGAGGATTTGGTTGCAATGCCAAGAGTTTAAGAACATTTCTCTTCATTATAGAAGAAGTTGGATTCCATGGGTTCCAAGAGGCGAAGAGCAACCTCGCCGTCCAGCAGTGTCAGCGGAGGGGACTTCGATGATGGCCACCACTCCACGAATATCCCAGGCCCCAGCAGGAAGAGAAGGAGGCTTTCAAATCTCCCGACTGTGGATCCTGTTAGTACCTTCTTGTTGTGCACACCTTTCTTTCTCTTGGGTTTACTGTATTCTTGCTAAGAAATGCTGGATTGTGGGATGGTAGTGCCCCTTACAGCATATGCTCTGGCTTCCTGCGTATTTGACAATCGTATTTGGCATGTATACACTGAGTTTATTGTGTCCTGAAACTGTTGCTGCCTTGGCTAAGCTGTGTTTAGGATCTCATTCACCTTTGGTTTGCTCTCCTCGTTTTTGTTTTTTCCCTTTCCATTTTCCTTTTTGCTGCTGGTTTTTTTTTGATGATGGTTTTAGCAGATGGAAAGAGACTGGGCGGACAGAGGGCTGAAGTAATAAAGTGCAGAAATTGAGAGTTGCATCTGAATAGCAAATGCTGGGAGAGATAAGTGGAGAACAGCTCTTCGATACGTGCTGAAGCATACGATGTCATTGTTATGCCTTGAGTTAGCAGTCTGATTTTAAATAATTGCAGGGCAAAAGGACCTCTGTCATGGTTTTAAATGTCTGTAACAAAGAGAGTTGTACTGAATTAGCCTGCATTTGGAATGTTCTACTTAGGATTAGTACTGAAAGAAAGTTCACTCTGTTAAATCAGACAATACAAAACAAAAACCAAACAGGCAACCCTAACGTTCTGCAGTACTGACCTGCTAGATCATACTAATGCAGGACATGCAGTGTTCTTCACTCTCTTGCTTTGGAGTGCACCATACGTGAGCAATTTGCCTTCCCCTTCTTGTTGTAAGCAGGTCTTGATTTGTTATCTCCTTAAAATTGACTTGCTTTTTATTGTGTTGTTCTTGAATTTTAGATTGCTGTATGCCATGAACTTTACAACACCATCAGAGATTACAAAGATGAACAGGGCAGGCTCCTTTGTGAGCTTTTCATTAGGGCACCGAAACGAAGGTAAGGCCATGGTTCTTGTGAAGCCTTGGGTTTTAAGGAATGCTTCACCATTAAAGAAAGTTGAAATATGGAAAAAAAAACAAATCAGCTATGCTCATCACTGTGTCACAGCAGCATATGATGATGTGAGTGAGTGTTGTAATTATTCAGTGGGACCTGCTGATGTTGGTACTTGTTTTCAGTAAAGGGAAAAAAAGAAAAGCAACCTTGAATGTATTTGAGATATTTCTTGTGACACCTGTCTAAAACATCTGACCTGAAGATGTTCCTCCTCAGTGGTGGAGTGTAATACTGAGGGTGTGCATTGGGAGGATGATAAACTCTTCAAATGACTCTTGAAAATATAAGTAGAGACTGAATGTACCTTAAACTCAGAAAACAGAGAATGATAATGGAGCAGGTATTACAATAGGTTTACTAACAGAACGCTGACCAGATATTTTACCTGGAACTGTCTTTGTTTCATTTTGTTGTCTCTGTGTCTAAACTTTCTGCTTGAAATACAATGCCTGCCTTTGTCATTACCACAGAAATCAACCAGACTATTATGAAGTGGTTTCACAGCCAATTGATTTAATGAAAATCCAACAGAAACTGAAGATGGAGGAATATGATGATGTGAATGTGCTGACTGCTGATTTTCAGCTTCTCTTTAACAATGCAAAGGCTTACTACAAGGTGAGGAAAATAGGTACAAAGGCTTGAATTTATCAATGATGGAGATATACTGAGGTTCTTATTTGGTTTGGCAGAAAGCTTTCTGGCTTTGCCTTTGATGCTAGTAAGAGCAGCATGAACTTACTGCAGGTGTTTGTGTATTTTCCCATAATGTTGACCATATCTTTGTGAGATGTCTTGCTATAGTAGCTTTTCTGTGGGGATGCCATAAAATAACATGGAGAGGGTATTTTTTTCATTTTCCAAGAGAGAGAGAAAGCAAAAAAACCCAACAACAGAGAAAAAGACTGATCTATTAAAACCTTCCCGTTTTATGAGATATCCCATGTGACCTTTTGAAAAGAACCACACTTTCTTCTCCCTAAAGGAGGAGTTTGTTTTGGAGTTTTGCAGTATGATTGCTGACTTTTTCTCTTCCATTGTCCAGTTACTAAAGTGAAATAAGGCACACTGATTACTCTGGTTTCTGATGATAGATTGTGAGTGTATGTGATGTGTTTCACCGAGGCTGCAAGCCACGTCTCCATTCCTCCAAACCCAACATGTGTTTTATTTTAGGTATTAATGGATTCTATTGTAGTTGCCTTAAGAAAGGAGGAAAGAAAACAGGAATGATCTCATTTAATGGAAGCATTTTACATACTAAAAAAGGGACACTGTGTGTTGTGGCTGAGATAGCAAACCTAAAACTTCAGTGCTGATATTAGCTTTGATAAATCTTGGTCTTTGGAAGTTGTCCACATAATTGCTTTGTAATTCAGGCAGGCACTGTAGTCAGGTGACACTCAGGTAAATGGTGCCTGTGTTTGTTTGTGTGTGTTTGTGGCTTTCTGAGGAACAACCAGGTTTAAGGGTTAACATCTTTCTACGTTGTGGTTACAGTAGAAAAAGCACAGAGACCTGCGTATTCATGGTGTGCTTTAGCAGACACATTCCCCTTAGTGTGGTGGGTTCTTTGGTTTGTTTTCTGTTTTATATGAGGAATAAGGAATGGATGGCAGGAAACAATTACTAGCATTTTCCCAAATGTCAGATGCCTTTGCCTGCACAATATTCAGCTCAGATCTGTGCCCGTATTGTAGCAATCCTGCATGCAGCATAGGAAGCAGATAGCTATCTTACTAGAATGCAGGAATTTTGTCATTACCAGAGAAATACAGAGTCATTAGATGAAGGTATGACACACAAACGTAACTTCATCTTTTTTCATCTTTTACCTTTATTCACATAGTTTAAATTAATTTGGTGCAAGGAAGGCTGATTCATTGGCGAGGTGTTTGTGTCAGTAGGTGCTTTATTGGGAGTGTCAGACTGAAATGAAGCCTTTGCTTGTTCAGTGTTTCTGTTCAAGTAATACTTCTGAGCGTCTTGCTCAGTAATGAGGAAAGGAGCAGACCAGCAGAGCAGGGTATCCCTTATTCTGTCTCACAACCAGCACCTGGTCTGATGTCTTGAGAACATTATGTCTGGTAGGGTAAGCGTAAGAACAGTTATTGTGTTGGATTCTCATCTCTGTTTCAAGCTGTCAGAAGCTGAGAGAGTGAAGAAGAGTGTAATCAACAGAAATAAGACAACGTTTCTGCCCAAGCTCCTGGAATAGTGGTGATGGCAGGGGAAAGGGGAGGAAAAGCACAAAAGAGTGGGAAAGCAGTCCTTTCTTTCTGGTGATTTGCTTTAGGCAGTAATAGGCTGATGGTTGATTGCTGCTCTGTATTTGAAATATTTTTGCTGACTAATGCATTTCTCAAGTTCTTTGGGATTTCACAGTTATTACTGAACAGTGCAAATCATTGCAGTGCTTACTGAGATATGTGTGCGTTCGTTGGTGTTCTTCTTTGGTAGAATTGAGTTTTCAAGTGTTGTGCAAAGGCAGCAGTGTTGGCTTAAATTACATTTCTGGCATACTGACATTTATTATGTTTTAAATACTGGCACTGATGTGCTGCAGCAGAGCCTGGAGATCTCCTGAGATTCATCTCGTACTTGTCTGTGCCTCTGCCCAAAGCAGTTTTATTGCCAAGTTTTCAAGAAGGCTGGAATGCTTTGCAGTGACAGAAGTGATATTTTCTAGTTCTTATTACCATTCTTAACACCTCTAAAGAACCTCTCAAGCAGGAATTTCTGATGTTTTGTGTTACTCAATCAGTTTAATACAATTCAGAGACTTAATTTATAAGCTCTTTCTAGATGAGAGAATTGTGAATTTTGAGGGTGCTGATGCTGTTTGATTTGTGTGGTTGTTTCTTTCAGCCCGATTCTCCTGAATATAAAGCTGCTTGCAAGTTATGGGAGTTGTATTTGCGCACAAAAAATGAATTTGTTCAAAAAGGAGATGCTGAAGAGGAGGATGAAGATGAGGAAGGACATGACAGTCAAGAACTAGTAAGTGCAGGCCTGACAGCTGCAGCTGGAGGAAGCTATTGCTCTGTGTGGCAGCTGACTGAGCTGAAGCTCGGCCTCTACGTTTGGAAAGGCATCAGGTCTTTTCATTGTTCAGTTATGCCCCTACAGGTGTTTCCTTGCAGGTTTTGCTTTTGTTTTTAATGCATGTTTATTAGTTGCCACTTAATTATTTCACAGCACTGTCTACATGTTCTGCTTCTGTCTAGGAAAAAAAGTTCTGCCATCTCTCTTAGGGACAAAATGCAGTTCTGGGTCAGCTGTGTTCTTGATAGTCTAATGTCTAATGACATTGTTTTCCTGTGTGCATCTTATACAATTACTGCAACTCTTCCTGGAGCAGTTTTTTAATGCAGATATGACAACAGGAAGCTTGGCTTTGTCTCTTTTTTTTCTTTTTTTAAGACATTGGGATGCATGATTGCATTAAGGTTGGCAATCAAGTTTCTTCTGACAGGATGTAATGTGTACGTGAGTCTTTAGTGTAAATGTGAAATCAGACTCTCATGTGCTTTACCTGAATATGTAAAGAATGTTGTTTTTCAAGGCTGCATGCATAGTTGATTTTTTTTTTCTGTCTTTGAAAAATAAATGTGTGTATTTCAGTGCAGTTTGAAGCACTGTATTTGGCTGTTGTTGAAACCTCATTTCATTGGTGCAATTTCTCATGTTAGTCATCTCCAGGTTATCTGAAGGAGATTCTTGAACAGCTTCTGGAAGCTGTAGCTGTTGCCACGAATCCATCAGGACGCCTGATAAGTGAACTGTTCCAGAAGCTGCCTTCTAAAGTGGTGGGTGTTTCAATAATAATCATCCTGAATTTGGGATGTGGAAATTTGTATCACTGCCCCTGAGCACTGTAATGCACAGACTGAGGATGCAGTTTTTTGTTACTGTCTCATCTCTCTTATCTGTCTCCAGCAGTTTTTAGAGCTGCTTTGCTCCTACCCACTCATTCCCAGGCCTATCATTGCAGGCTGGGGCTTGCTCTGTTCTGCAACTTTAGTTTACTTGGTTGGTTTTGGTTTGTTTTTTTTTTGGTTGAGACTTCTTAATCTTTTTTTTTTTGTTTGTTTTTAATCTGGCTGACTTTACTGTTCTGTTTCAGGTTGTGGTGTAACAGGTTTAACCAGCAAAAGAAGTACTTTGAAAACCATCACTGTGTATTTTGTTTTCAGCCAGAATTGTTTCTTTATGGCATTTTATGGATGAGACATAATTGTATGTATCTGCCTTATCATCTGTCTCTCCAAACTGATGCCTGATACTGTAATTATGAAGCTTACGCTATTCTTCATCTACAATTAATCTTTACTAAGAACTCATAGAATGGTTTAGAAGAGCTTTGTGACTGTTCATGATAACATATCAATTGTTCTTGTTTTCCAGCAATATCCAGATTATTATGCAATAATAAAGGAGCCCATAGATCTTAAAACTATTGCCCAAAGGATTCAGGTACAATACAAACTTATTAATACACTACAGTTTAGACTTGATTAAAAACAAACACTCTAAAATTGCTGAAGTTAATAAGAAAAGCAGACTATTTCTGCCCACTACTGAAAACTCAAGATGCTGTAGTTATTTAGTGTTGTGTCCTATTTTAACACTGCAGTGGTAGCTGTGTTGAAGATCTGGCATCGTAAACCAGAGTCTGTTGGCACTGAACCTGAGTATCTTGGGTTCCCTGATGTTTAATGGTTTAAAGTAATTCCTTGGCAAATCTTACAAACATCAAACATTGATCTGTTGAAGCTTGGTTGTGCATTAGCATCACCTGCTTCTGTTCTACTGCTGTAAATAGAGATTTTGTACTGCTTCATTTTTCATCTTGCTTTTCCAGCAATCTGAAATGCTGTTCAGTAATTCTATTATTTATTCTACTCTATTTTGTGTAATAGTGAAGGACAGCACAAGGTCTAATTGAACTAGAGAATAAAGCTGAAATCACATCTTGTCAGACCCTTCAACATTAAGATAGTATTGCAATAGTGTTAAACTTTTTCCAATCTTAGCATTTTAAAGATCAAGAAGACCTTGTGCTCTTATTTTTTTTCTTAAGTACTCTTCTTCTTTTCTAAAACTGTTCTCTCTTGTCTGTGTTCTCTTTATCCGTTATGAATTCCCTTTGCTTTTGACTTTCCATGCTGTCTGAAGGTTGCCCCAAAGCAGTTCTGTTTTGCTCTGTTGCAGAATGGAACTTATAAAAGCATTCATGCAATGGCCAAGGATATAGATCTTCTTGCAAAGAATGCCAAAACCTACAATGAGCCTGGATCCCAAGTGTTCAAGGTTAGTTTCAGTCACTCACAGTTAGATCAAAGTTAGGTGTTTCTTTACTGTTTTCTGTGCTGTTGGTCTTTGAGGAAATCCTTGGTGTAAGGCCCTAAAAACTGTTTCCATAATAAATAGATCTCTTGTTGGAATTTCCTTATATAGTACTATGTATGTAATATATATATGATTTAAATAGTTGTAATATCTTTTTATCTTGAATTACGAGTTTTTCCAATTAAATTTTATATCAAGATGTGAATTACGTGACTTCTTTGGAAGTATGGGGGATCCTTTTATTTGTGCTTGAAATGGGAATGGCTGGGACTGCAGATTAAAATGTTAGTGGCAATGCTCAGCTATCATCCCATTAGAGGTGTTGGGAACAGACTGCACTTTTCATCATAAGCTTGAAAAGTGGAGCAGTGTCTTTTTTGTATGGTTTTCCAAGGTTCTTTTCCTTTTGGCTGTGTTTTTATGACGCCTCCAATCTTGGTTAGTTTTCAGTTCACCAGCATTTTGTGTGCAAGTTATGATATTACTGTTTCCATGTACTTCTGAAAATAAGGGAATTTCAGTGACAAATAACTGCTTGTATGTTCCTATGAGCTTCGTGGTAGGAGACCTTGCAATGTCTGTGACTTTCCTGTGTCAGTGGTTATGGGACTTTTCCAGTTGCTCTGCTTTCAGGATTGTGACTTCAGTTACCCAGGCTTGTGACCTCGTTCAAATCTTGTGATCTTTGCTTTTTGAACTGTTACTTCAAGTATCAACTCTGTTGCTGAGAGAGAGGGAGAAGGAACATCCTAAAGCTCAGCAATAGCCGTAGCTAAATAATTTCAAAGGCACGGAAACTCATCTGCTTGTGTGATATTCCTGGGTTTTTTTTTTTTTTAGTTTTTTTAATTTTTTAAATTTTTTTTTAAACATGTGAGAGAAAATGAGCTCAAGCTACTCAGCTTTTATGTTTCTACAGCCACGGTATGGCTACTGCATGGAGATTTTGTTCTGTACTTCAGTACTTAGTCCAAATCGTTTAAGCATTTAGGAACGTTTAAAACAAAAATGAACAACATAAGAAACCTAACCAAAACCCATTTTTGTTCCTGATCCTTGAATGGTTCTACCTGAAAATAACATTCTTTGTTTTCAACCATAAACAAGCACATTCTTTTCATTGACAGGATGCAAATGCAATTAAAAAAATATTTAATATGAAAAAGGCTGAAATTGAGCACAGCGAGCTGGCCAAGTCAAGTCTCCGACTCAGGTACCACAAATAGAGTTCTGTTTGTAAGGCTGTGAAAATCTCTGTAGTTGTTCCCTTAATTTTGCTGTGGGGAATATCCTGGGAAATAATTGCATGAACATTTATTGTTCTTCTGTGGTTTATAACCTTTGGAAAGAGGTGGTTTCTTTTTTTTTTTGTTTGTTTCTTTTTTCCTACTCAAATGCATCCATGATGAGTATTTCTGTACATGTTTCATGGCTCTCTTAAGCTCTGGCCAACTGCTTCCATGTGTGTTTGTAAGGTAAGAACAGAGGAGAAGCAGTGATGGAAAAAGTTGTGTTGTTTTGCTTTGCTGTGCCAAAAGTACTGGGTAGTGTTGCATCTTGTAAGGAGCTGAGAGCTGAGAGCTCACAGTTATCTAGGTAGGGGCAGAAATGCAGCAACAAGGCAACAGATATGTAGAACAGAGGCCATGTTATATGAACTCTTATTTGAAAACCTATTTCTGGCTATGAAAAGAGGCACAAGACACTGAAGATCTGGACTTAAAATCAGAGAGGGATAGTTTTGGTCTTTAGGCAGGCAGATATGAAATGCTTTTGACAGCTGTATTTGTTTCACAGAAAGAGCTTAATCAGGAAATACTGCTACCTGAAAAGAAGGTGCTACCTACAAAGAAGTAAAGCAGTCGTAACATGTGTCTCTGATCTAAAATGCAATTGAATTTATTCTTCTCTATATTTTTATTTTGAGTCACCAGTCAAAAGTAAGCTTAAATATTATTTTTCAGTATGAGCTGTGTCATATATATAAAAAAACAAACCACTGTCTTGCAGGTCCTCCAGGGAGTCAGCAAACTCATTCTAGGATGGACCAAGTATTTATATGAGTTGTTTGCTGGCACGCCATGCTGAAAAATAAATGCTGTTCATTCCTTGCAAAGGTCTGTGCGGTACAGCTGAGAACCCCAGCGCCCTCTGTTGACTGAGAGGCAGATTGTGTACTGGTGGTTATGTTTTGTTTCTCCCCTGAAAAATATTTAGAAGGTGTTAGCCACAGACTTTACTTTTAATGCTGTTATGTCTGAAAGAAATGAAAGTTACCTGCTTGGATATTACTGTTCAGTGCTCAATTACGTTGTGGTTTTTCGGATTCAGTCACGCAGAGTTAGCATGCTTCCCATACTTGGGTGAGGTGTCAGCCAGAGCAGTGAGCAAAACACCTCATGTAAAGGAACGGACAAAAGCAGAAGCATTAAGGAGTAATTCTTGATGCATATTGTAATAATTTTCCTCCAAGTACGTGTGGTGCCAGGAGATCTTGGTTCTACAGACACATCGTTTCCGTGTGTGTTAGCTTGGATGGAACAGGAATTACATATAGGCCCAGAAACTTTTAATATAAGTTGTGATTTTATTTCTTTATTTTGCTACGTTGGGCTACATTGATGAAGCTCAGGGTGTTGTGGGTGCCCCGTTTGTGGAGGTGTTCAAGGCCAGCTTGGATGGGGCCTTGGGCAGCTCCATCTGATGCCTGACCGAGTGGCTGGCAGCCCTGCCCATGGTGGGGCTTGGAGCTAGCTGATCTTTAGGCTCTCTTCTGCCCTGAGCCATTTGTGGTTCTATGATTCTTAATATCACAAGTTGTATTTAATTTGGAGTCTTACTTTTTTTTCTTCAAACTTAAGCTGTTTGCTTCAAAAGGGATGACAGATAAATCACACTGATATTTGTTAGTTGAATTCCTCTCTTGCACTGCCAACCCATTTCTACTCCTAAGGTTCCTGATTCTTTACATTCTCGTGTATTCTGCTCTCTATGGATCTGCAAGGCTTGAAGTAATCTGAATGTCTCATTAATTGACTGCTCCCTTTCTTTGTCTCTGTAACTTGGCAAAAAGTATTGGTAGTGCCTGGAACAGGCTACAGTAATGGTGAACTGCCCTTTATAGCAGGGGATGTGGGGTGCTTTTGTCTTTCTTAAAACTATTCTATTTATTTTTTATCCTTTTGGTTTTTTTTTTTAATTTATTTTTATTTTTTAGTGCAAAAGAATTGGGTGAGAGAAAGGTGTAGTCCAAACCAAACCTCCCATCTGCTGTTCTGAAGTATTTCACTGCCTGGTGGTTTTCTTTTTGCCTCGTTCTGTTTTTAATTGAACCATGTTGTTTTTTTTTTTGTATTCTGCTGAATCTACATCACAGAATCATTCATTTTTTCCTGATTTGATTGTCTCAACAGACAGTCTCTTTTACCTATTGCTGATTTTGGTAGAATACCCCCATAAGTTCCTTTAATTTTTTTTTCTGAATTTATGTCACTTTCTCTTTGGTGGATCAGGCTCAGACTCCTTCTCATGCCACTAACTTGTGTCAAATAACTCTGCTCTCCCAGCACAGAGTCCTGCATGTCTGCTGTCACACTGATTGCTCTTTCTCGGTGCATTTAGCTGTCCTCCCTTCAGTCAAGTGACAAAATAAAACTCCTTGACTGTGCACACTGTGACTTCTATGAAGTACTGATCAAACATGATTTGGTATGGGTAGCTTTATGTTGGTGCTGAGGAGTGTCTTGTTGGCTGCTCACATGTTGTTGTAGGCTGAGCTGTGTGTATAGCTGTTAATCCTCCATCTAAATGTGACCTTCTGGCTTTTTATAAACAAAATCAATATCAGAATGCTGGGGCACTAAATGTATCTTGGTGTTGCTTTACTTTTAGCTTTAAAATGTTTTTTTTTGCCTGTCTCTGAAGCTTTTGTCTGACCTATCGAAGTAACTCTGTACAGAGCTGTAGCCTTGCTGCATCTTGTCTTGGGTCTAAGGTGGGCCTCTTTTTTCCCCCTTTCCTTGGCTTGTCTCTCCTGCATTAAGGACGCCATCAAATTTGACTGCTTCCAAGCTGACAGGTCCTTCCTCACAGGGTAAAGGCAGTGTGGGTGATGAGAGAAATTCTTCTAACAAATATTTTCGGTAAGTAAATTTTGGACTTGGAGGAAAAGCTGGGTCATCGTCACGTCGAAATGCTGACTTTAAAAATAAAAAATACATATGCACTTTTTTTTTTTTAAGTTGGCACTGTTCTTTAATTTCCTATGTTGACTCGAATACTCTTGAAATTTCAAATATATTTCCTTCCTATGAAGTAAGTTTAAGAAGGTACTTTACTGTAAGTACGCTTCTGTGTTTGATTTTTATATTTCATGTTTCAAACACTTGTTATTAAATACTCGCTGTGCAGCTGTTTCCTTAGAAATATTCTGAAGATTGATGTGCTAGACTTCATTACAAAGTAAAGTGTGTGAAAACTCATAAGGAAATGAACTGTAAGTCTAGGAAAATGATATTGGAAACTGAAAGAAATAAGTAGGAATTAATATTTAAGAGATGGAAGATAGAAACCGACAAAACCTGGGTTGTGGCAGCCCCTACTATCAGTACGAGCTGGGAGAGATGTAAGGATGGAGCACAGCTCAGCTGAAAAGGACCTGGGGTGCTGTTGGATGGCAGCTGGACGTGAGCCAGTGCTGTGCCCTCACAGCCCAGAAAGCCAACTGTATCTTGGGCTGCATCCAAAGCAGCACAGCCAGCAGGGCAGGGAGCTGATCCTGCCCCTCTGTGCTGGGACACCTCACCTGGAGTGCTGTGTCCAGATGGGGAGTCCTCAGTACAGGAGAGATGTGGGTCTGTTGGAGTATGTCCAGAGGAGGACCACAAATGACCCAAGGGATGGAGCACCTCCCTACGAGGACAGGCTGAGAGCTGAGGCTGTGCAGGTGGAGAAGAGAAGGCTGTGGGGAGAGCTGAGAGCGGCCTATCGGTACCCAAAGGGGCTGTAAGAAAGAAGGGGACAGACTCTTTAGCAGGGTCTGTTGTGACAGGACAAGGGGAAATGGTTTCAAATTAAAAGAGAGGAGTTTTACAGAATCACAGAATCACCAAGGTTGGAAAAGACCCACAGGATCACGCAGTCCAGCCATCCACCCATCACCAATAGCACTCACTAAACCACGTCCCTCATCACAAAATCCAAACGTTCCTTGAACACCTCCAGGGTCGCTGACTCCACCACCTCCCTGGCAGCCCATTCCACTGCCTGACCACTCTTTCAGAAAAGTAGCATTTCCCAACATCCAGCCTAAATCTCCCCTGGTGCAGCTTGAAGCCATTCCCTCTAGTTCTATCACCAGTTACACGAGAGAAGAGGCCGACCCTTTGCTCACTGCAGCCTCCCTTCAGGCAGTTATAAAGAGCAATAATGTCTCCCCTGAGCCTCCTCTTCTCCAGACTGAACAATCCCAACTCCTCTTTAGATTGGATATAAATAAGATTCTTTTTAAAGATGGTGAGGCAGTGGCACAGCTGCCCAGAGAGATGGTGGATGTCCCGTCCCTGCAGACAGCCAAGGTCAGGCTGGAGGGGCTGTGAGCACCTGGTGGAGCTGTGGTGTCCCTGCTCAGTGCAGAGAGTTGGATCAGATGACCTGCAGTGGCCCCTTCCATCGCAAAAGATTCTATGATAGTGTGAAATCCTGCAAGCCATTAGTACTGAGTTGCTGATGTGCTTATGGCAGACTTACTAGGCAGACTGGTTTACTGCAGGCTGTCCAGTTTGTTCTTCATTCATCACTTGAGATGTTTGGTATGTAGCAGAGGCTTTATGCCAGCAGGCTTAGCTACTGTCTGGAAGCAGCCAGTCTTCTCTGTGTAGGCCTTGAAACTGTGGCCTAATGCCCAGCAGCAGCACGGCTCTTTCAGGTATTGAGTGCTTGTATGGAGTCAGTGTCATTGTAAGCAACGCGTGAGATGCTGTGCCCCAGATTTGGGAGAAAAGGCGGAAAGATTGACGCTGAAGATGTTGTGAGACCAGTTAAGAGCCCCTTCACTTACAACCAACCACTCTGCGTGCTGAACGAGTGCAGGCAGGGCTGGAAGAAAGGGAGACAACCTGTAACGTGCTAAATTTCTTAATGTAGACCAATCCCTATAAAACAGGATTAAATAAGAGATTTGTTTATATAATTTTGGGATAATTGGGAAGCCTTATTCCCATAAGTGCCAATTAGTAACACAAATACTTAAGTATTTGAAGTAGGACAGAAGATACATAGCTTGAGCTCTGACATTCGGACTGCACGGGCAGTTTCTGGTTAGAGGGCCGGCCTGTTAAAGTGAAGGCTGTCTCAAGGGGTGTTAGCAGCTTGGTGAGCTCTATGGTTCTTTCTCTGTAGCCATCTCTGTTTTCCTGATAAGCAGCTGACATGAGCTTCACTGGTTTACTGGTTCACTCAGGATGGCTGTTAATGGTGATTTAATAAGAAGAACTTTTTGTTATTTTTTACTTCTGAAATCTTTTTTTTTTCTTCCCTCTTTTTACAGTAACAAAAGATCAGCCCAGGGGGATCGTTTATCAGCAATAACCATGGCATTGCAGTATGGATCAGAAAGTGATGAGGATGCTGCTTTGGCTGGTAGGAGCTGATATGCAATTTATCTGTTTATTTTCTTTAATTAAAGATATCTTCAAATGTCACTCTATTGCAGAATTATATTTACTGTTTCAAAATTGAGCATATAATTCTGTTAAGTCCAGTCACTGTTTCATCTTAGTACTGAGTTATAAATGTGCAGCTGCTAAGAGATAGGCTCAACTGGCCAAACTGATCCAGGCTTTGGGAAACTGTTGCATGTTTTTGTTCCTTCTGATGTGGAACAGACAAGGAGATGTTGAAAACAGTGTTACGTGTTCTGTGGGTTAAGAGATATGGCAGTTGTCCTAGAGAAACTTCATGCTGGCTTGTCCTTTCTTGTGCCAGTGGCTCTTCTAAGAGCCTGTCAGGTTTTATTTTTTAAGGTTGAGACTATTTATATGGGATATAAGGAAGGCTAAATAATGGAACTTAATTTGCAAATATCTTGTGTAATCTAGCAGTGATGTGATCTTGTGTGAGGGCTCATGTTCAAACAAAAGTACATAAAAAGGCATGCCTTGAGACAGCACCTTTAGTTTCATAAGCATGCTATAGCATTGTATTATAAACATCTGTTGTAACATACCCATTATATCATATATTTCAGTATTGGCCAACGTTACTGTAGTCTGTCTTTTAAATTAGTCTTTCTCAATAGTTGCATTCTCCGTAATTTCCTCACATTATCTCAGAGCAGATATCTGATTATTAATATTTTTGTTACATTTTTTTTAACATAGGGTGTGTTTTATTTCATGTTGGAATTGTATCTGTGTTCCTGGTTAGCCTAGGCTTCAGTTCTGGCTCCCCTCTTTGAGAGAGGTGGAGAGTATTCATTCCTGTGGCTCAGTGTGCTTGTCAGTTGCAGGCCTTCCACACCTCAGTGTAGGAGCAATACAGCTTTCTGCTTCTTCAGGATTTAAATGCTTCAAGTGGTTTAATTGCTTTCAGATGTCACGTCTGCCATGGACACGGATGTCATTTGCACAGGGCCTTGTGTGTGTCTAAGATTTTTGCCTTAGTACTGCTGAAGTTATCCTATTGCATTCATCAAAAGGGCAGTTTTTTGGCAGATATCTGTCACTGTTTCTCAGTCTTTCCAGCATATCTTTGGACATCTCTATGTTTTCATTCTTAGAGTGAACAAGATTTTTCTTAAAAGCAAGCAGTCTTTTTATTGGTTGCTCTGGTATCTGTCTTTCCCCTAACACTGAAACAAATGAGGGTTGGACATAAAGAGCGTAGAGAACTTTCTCCTTGATACAGAGAGCTCAGTCTTTGTGAGCATCTCTGAGTGCAGCAGTTGCCTAAGCAACTGTTTCCAACTTGGAGTTTATCCTCACAGTTTCAGAGTGTGTTGTGGTGTGATGGAGCTTGTGGAAGATTTCTAGCTCAAACGTACTGAGACATGAGCAGCTTTTGCAGCTCCATTACAAGTTATCCTCACTATAAACGTAAAAAGGCATAAGGTTTATGCCTTTAGGAGTGGTTGCAGCTTTTGATTTTACTAGCATCTATCTTGTTAGGCTTCAAGCATTTGTGTTGTCTCAGTGCATGACATTGATAAAAGCAAGTTACTTAATGAGTAAAGACTATTTTTTTGTATACATTCCTGTGCTTTCCTCACTCTGCTTCTTTCCTCTGTCAGCACTGAGTAAGGGCACACATATAGTTACTGCCTGAAATTTTTATTCTGTTTTCTTTCCTCTGTACCTGCTAACTGTTCCTCTCTCATGTGTTCTTATGGGACCTATTGCTTCTGGATGTTCAAGAGCCTGTGGTCTTGCATTATGTGCTTGGTTGTGTAGCCAAATAAGGATTTTTGTCTTTTGAGTAATACATCTTCAGTTGTCAAGATGCGTTAATGCTTCCTGCTGGGAGGACATTATCATTTTCTGAATACTTCAGGATATATAGTGATTGCCATGTCTTTGAAAGAGCATACACATTGTAATAAAAATATGTATAGGTTCATTCAGGTGTTATGTACACGTTTTCCTCTGAGTGCTTGTTTAATTTATTTAGATTTCATTTTGGGAAATGCCTACAAAAGAAGGACCTGTCTTGACTAGAGTATTGAACTGCTTCTTTGCTGGCTACCATGTCACAGAATATTAAAGTCCTTCTTTCTTGTGGTTTTTTTTTCCTCTTCTTAGAAGCAGCTCTCCTTTTTCCCTTGTATTCATTTTTGGTGGAACAGTGAGAGCTGCAGTGTTGAGCAAACAAAAGCAAAGCCTACTTCTGTTGCATAATTAGTCTGGAAACTTGTTGTACCTGGTAGCATTTTCTTTGCTGCAAGGATTTCTCTCCATGCTCAGGCTGATAGATGAGGTTCAGGGAAAACAAAGCACTGTTTCCAGTCTCTTTTTCCTGCTGAAATTACTCTGTCCAGCTCCTGCTTTGCAGGCTACCGCAGTGGATGCTGTGCAATTATTTGATGCTGATTGGCATTCGGACACATGATAATTTTAGGTATCTCCTCTGAGTCAGTAATGAACATCTCTGTCATGTTTGTGCATCTACTGAGGTCTGCTTTGTGTTTTAGCTTGCATCTGTCTTGGCTAGCAGGTCTGCATAGATGTGCAATGTCAGGCTGCAGAGGATAGATGCTAACACTGTGCTGTGTGCAGCCAGAATGCCCTCTGGCTTTGTCATCAGTTCAATATATCTTTACTGAAATTGAGTAGAAAACCTGAAACATTGCCAGCCACTACTGAGCAATAATGAAAATGCCTGCTGGAAACTTGGCATGAGCATTGGAGAGCCGTCTTTTGTGCAGCTGAATTATCCAGCGTGTCATCCACCAAGCTTCCATCTAAACTGGAATTTGTAAGAGGGGAAGTTAAGGAATAAATAGCTGTGTGTTTCCTGGTTTGTCAGCAGTACATGTTACTTCATCACAGTATCCTTTTTGTTTGTTCTAATCCTGAAACTTACTGTTTGCTTCATCAAGTTAGCTGGCAAAGTCTCTATAAAATTGACAAATACTTTCTATAATTACCAGAAATAGTTCATAATAATCATTCTAAAATATGTACTTCTTCATTTTCTGCATATTAAAGGTGACCTTCAGTGTCAGTCTTGTCAGTTAAAGTTCAGTTTTCTTAATTGGGCTGTGAATGTTAGAGTTTAAAGGATAACAGAAGTTTTGAAGTCACTTCTTTTCACATGCATACAAAAAACATTGTGTTTAGTTCAGCCATTTTCCCTGTCTGAGCACCTTTGCAAATTTGAGGTGTGGTTTGTCAATTCATGTTCTTGTAGTGTACTCCAGTTGGGCAGCAGCATGGCTGTAGCTCAGTGTACAAATATATTTGGCACAAATATTGACATCAGTGTTTAAATGGGTAAATAAGGATGTTCTATAGCTGTCCTATTAATAGCATGTGGTTGAGTGGTCCTGGTGTGTATTCTCCTGTATACATACTTCTCAGTGCTTCTGTATGCAGGGTGTGTTACCATTGACTGAGCTGAGTCTCGTGCTAAGAGAGCTTGCTATCTAGCTATGTGTTGTGGTGGTTTTTGTTTTCTGTTTTCCCATCAGCTTGAGGCACATGAGGTACAGCCATTTGTGGTGTCCTTTTCTAAGATGTGAATCTGACTGCCAGAGTGGCTGAATGCCCTCAGCTGAAGGACTCTTTTGTTCTTGTTTAGTTCTTTCTCTATTTGAAAAGTCAAACAACAAAATCCACTTGACTTGTTCGCTGAGAGTTTCCCATTTTTCCTTTCTCTCTGTGCAGCTGCTGCTCGTTATGAAGGAGAGTCTGAAGCTGAGAGTATTACTTCCTTCATGGACACTTCTAATCCTCTCTATCAGCTTTATGATACAGTTAGAAGTTGCCGAAATAATCAGGGCCAGCTAATATCTGAACCCTTTTTCCAGTTGCCCTCCAAGAAAAAGTATCCTGATTATTACCAGCAAATTAAAACACCTATTTCATTGCAGCAGATCAGGTAAGAAAACAGAATGCAAACTACGTCTGATGGGAAAATATTTAAGGGTTTCTTCTGTTTCCAAAGTCCTATATTGTGGTCAGGTTGCTGATGCAACATGTACCATCTTTCCTTCATGCTTTGATTGGTGCTTGTTTCACGCCAGCCTGCATCAGTCTTCTGGTCATCTTTTATAAATGGCTGCTGTCCACAGGTTTATTTTACATGGTGTTTCATTTGTGCTGTGCCATATCAATAATTCTGGAGGGTTGGTGGACAGCAGAGGTGAAAGTTTCTGCAGAGCCCTGTGTTATGCCCTTTCCTTGACCCCAGTGGCTTGCTTACCTCTTACTGCTGTGGTTTGTACATTAATAGTCTTCAGCAAAGCAAATTGTCTATGTCACAGTCCAACTGTGGAGAATATTTTCATTAATGATCTAGGTAGTCTGGAGTGCAGTACTCATGCAACACACCATTCCTAAATCTATGAGCCGTTGAAGCTCATCAGCTCTCAGAGCACAGTTACTGGGTAAAAACCAGGTTTAAAAGAAGAACAGTGAGCATCGTCTTCCTTGAGTGGTGTGAGAGAAGCTATTATGATGGAGCTAGTATGGTTGGATATGTCAAGGTGCTGAGTGCATGAGAAGTGTTAGTGGCCCAGAATAGTGGCCCAAGCCTCCTGCCCTGGGACCCAGGAGCCCTGTTACAGCTCAGCCCTGGGGCTCCAGTCATTGCCCTGGGCTGTGTGGTAGCAGTGTGTGCTCCAGCACACCACAGCCTGGCCATGCACTCCCACTGATCCCCCCTACTTATTGAGACTCTGTCCTGCAGGCTGATTTCCCAGACTGAAATTGGGCCTGCTATGTCTGAGCACAGGCCCTGTCTGACCCTGGCTGCCACCCCTGGATCGGACTCTGACCTGCCAGCCTGGCTTCCTGCCTTTGCCTAGTCACCAAAATTCAGCCTGGATTCTAGGTTGAACCTGCTTGCTCACGGCTGGCAAGGTCTCTGCCCTGCTGACCACCTTCGTGTGCTTGGTTCCCCTTCCATGGAACAGCCAGCCTACTCTGTTGTCATGGGATAAAGGTTTGGGAAGCAAGTAGAAAAATCCCACGCTGGTTAGCTATCCGTCAATGGCTTTAAAGTAGTTATTTCTTTATGTCTTAGTACAGCTGTTGACTTGACAAAGGAGGCATTTTTTGTTGAAGGAACCACCCAGCCCATTTTTTTGGGAAAAAAAGATGAAATTGAGAACATCATTGATAGGGAGCATTTAATCTGAGTGTACAGAAGGGCACTGGTTCTAATTATGTATGTATGGTTTTAACTGGGAGAAATGTTGCTTTGAAAATGTGCTTAGTACATGATAATTTGCCTTAGGAAGGCAGCTGCTTTTCTGTTTCCCTTACAGAGTAGTCAGGTTACCCTTGGCTGCTGGGGCAGTCCAAAGATGGCATGCAAATATATAAAGAAATTCAGAAGAAGATGATATTTCTCATTACCTGAGAGCTTGGAAAATAAAGCACAGTTTTTTTAGAAATAGTGTGTGTACACATTTATAATATTTATAATATGAAGTATTTATAATTGTCTAAGTAGCTTTAGCAAATTCTGAAATTCAGTTATTTGTTAAATACCACGTAGGGTTCTCCTTTATTATGCCTAAAAGCCCTGAAGTCATGCATATGTGTACTTAATTGTTGTGCATTAGGGAAAACTGAAACGAGCATGGTTTTGTTGGTATTCCTAGGGAATGGAAGGGTTTTTTTGGTTTTGCTTTGGGTTTGTTTGTTTTTTGGGGGGGAGGGGGCAGGGGATTTTTTTTTAGAGGGGAGGGGACAGTAGATGATTACTGTTGGTTTGCGTGTTTGAAGATGCAGATTCAAGGTGTGCACCTGATGGTCCTAGATCGGGACAAGAAGGTGATGGGTCTAGAGGGGGACAAGATGGGGACAATTAACAGAAGGTTAATTGTTGTAGTGACAAAGTAAGGGTGTTAGTGTACAGCCTGGCATCCCAGTCTCCTAGTGATTGCTGCATTGGCACCTGGATATTTGGGCTATGCTGCCAGAGTGCACTGTGAAATGGGTGGCTGAGTGTCTACTGCCATAGGAGCTTTTGCAGCTAATCATGTATTTCAGGAGTCTGTGTGTGTTAAATGCAGGAAAATCCACACTAAATGATTTATCATCTCTAGCATATCACAGCTCTGGGTGTATTTGGTTTAACGAGCAGATAACAGCTATCCCAGCATCTTGATCACTCACTGAGCACTGTGATCCTTGGTGGCATGAGCTGGGCGCTGCTCTCAGGCTGTTCTGGCTGCAGGAAATGATCCTTCCATGGCTGCAGTGTCCTCCTTGTTTCCTCCTGCCCTGCTCTGTACAGAAGCCAGGGTTGGCGTGGAGCCACCTACCAGCCACCTCACTGTGCACATCGCCCATTCTCTACAGCCAACCTGGGTAACCATGCCAGCATTTGGCAACCATCATAGATTCAGGAAAGGAGTCTCGTGTTCAGATGGAATTCCTTCTTTTTTGTGCCCTTGTTCTGACAGTGAACATGGATGAGACAGGTTTGGCTCACTCTTCATTCCCTCCCATGGGGTGTTTGTCTTCACTGGTGTGATACTCCCTGCCTCAGCTTGAATAGAGCAAGGTGCAGGGCTGCAGAGTCTTTAAACAGAAAGACTTTGACTTTAAGATATGTTAGAATTCTGCAGTATGGAGGCTATTTAGCACTGTTAAAAGTAATTCAGTAATTCATTGCCCGGAGAAGTAGTCAGGAATTAATGCAGGAACACACCAAACTTACTGTTACATGGAATGCAGGTGTCAGATACTGACATGCTTACCAGAACTGTGTTTCTCCTTAAATTTTACAGCATCAGTAAATATGATCCTGAAGGCAAGTTCATGAGGCTTTATTCCACTGGGGGTTTCTCTAACAGCTGTTCTCTCCTTGTCTGCATGTGAGAGATGAGTGCCTTCATAGGCATGCCCCCGTGTCTTCTGCTCCAGGAAGCTGGGGAAGGACTTTTTATGTGGGCATGTAGCAACAGGATGAGGGGAAATGGCTTTAAACTGGAAGAGGGTAAGTGTAGACGAGATATTAGGAAGAAATCTTTACTGTCAGGGTGGTGAGACATTGGAACAAGTTGGCCAGCGAGTTGGGGGTGCCCCCTCCCTGGAAGCTCTCCAGGTCAGGCCAGATGGAGCTGTGAGCAACCCGGGCTATGGGAGGTGTTCCTGCCTACAGCAGGGGGTTGGAACTGCGTGATCTTAGAGGTCCCTTCCATCCCATACCACCCTATGATTCTGTGGTCTAATGGAAAGCAGTTTGTTCTGCGTGACATCCGCTACTTAAGAACCTTGTGAGCTTTTCTTAGGAACCTTCATCCAACTTTATGTGTCATAGGAATATAAACTTTGTTTCACTGGGTTGAGATTCTCCTGGACCTTAAATTTGTTTGGCTCTTGTTACTTCTAGATTTAATACTCAAGTTGAAAATAGAATAAACATATTTGTCTGATCAGTGGGACTTAACCTTGAAGGGGCAGAGGCTGCTCTCTGGGTTAAATTGAATGTTTTATGGAACTAATAGCTGAAAGTAACACTTAGGTTAAGGTTTTATTATAACTTTTGGAAAAATAATATATCATTGTATTGCAGTTTGCTTAATTTATGCATGTGCCAACTGGGAAAATATTCTGAAGATAAAATTCTTCTCTTTAGTATTTAAAATCCCTTGCAAATTTTCCTTCCGTCTGCCACTGTGGCGGCATAATGCCAGCAGGCAGCTCAGCTCCACCGTGCTGCAGTCCCACTGCTGCTCCATAGAGCAGTGGAGGGAGGAGATGTGATGGAAAATGCTCCTGGATTGATGTAAGGCCAGGGATGTTCCTCACTGGTTGCCTTGTGGGCTGGGCAGACCCAGAACTGGGAGGTTAATTTAGTTTATTGCCTGTTACTATCAGACCACTGCAGTGAGAAAATAAAAGCAAACTGAAAGAAGCTTTCCTCGTGTTCCCTTGTCCGTTTTTAAGGAAAGGAAACTTGCTAGTAGGATACATACCCTAAGAAATGCTGCTGCCTTGTTCTGCCTGCAGCTTACTTTCATCTGTTTTGATGTGGGCATAGCACAGTTTGTGTTGTGGGCAGAACAACTCCAAACAAAGAGAAGTAGTGCTAAGGGAAAGTGAGGAGAAGCAATCTGAATTGAAAAAGTGGCACTTCAGTTGAGAGGTGGCCTTCTGGGTTTCTTGTTCGGGAGCTGGCCTTACACCTCATGCAGAGCGCAGACTTGTGATTCTGTAATTGTTTCCTTATATTAATTGGGAGACTAGCAATTTTTCTAGTTCTTTCTGCCATTGAGTCCCTCTAAACTTTAGTTTTCTGGAAGAAGCAAACACGGTGAGGATGCTGACAAACTGCGTGCTGCTGATACTGAAGCAGAAGTTGAGCAGAGGTGGAAGGCAGGCATGATGTGTGCAGGCTGGCCTGCTTTCAGGGGATGAACCAAGAGCAGATCTTGTAATATAAAAAGGCTTAGTAATAGCTGATTGCTGGAACATGGCTGCTTTTCCTGTAATGGTTGTCTGTAGCAGTGAAAAGTATTGAGGTATTTTAGACATGAAGTATTTAATATGCAAAGCTAAGGCAGCTGAGGTGGTCTTCACGTTGTTAGATGCCTAAGTAGAGCCCAGTTCTGCGAGTTTGTCAGTGTGAGTGGTCACTTCCATCTGAGAGATCCCCTGGAAACAGGCACTGCAGCTGCTACCTGTGTCCCAAGGAGAGGAGCTCTGGTGGCATTTCTCTCCTGTGAACTCATTTCTGCACAGGACATGCTTTTCTCAATTTTTGTAGCATTTGTTTCCTAAGTACTCTAGATGGTGCTTGTTCTTTTTCCGTTCAAAGAGGCAGAATTGTGTTTATTTGAACATCATTTTAGTTGCTCATTAATCCTTGGGAAGTTTAAATTATTTATGAACACTTATACTAGCACCAGTAAAGGAGGAAATTGCTAGAAACTGCTATTCACATGTGACAGGTTGGAGTGTTGTTAAATCACTCTATTTTGAAATAAATAAGAGCATACAATGTTTGTGATAAAATTGGGATTATTGGTGAGAGTTTCTGATGCAAATTTTCTTTTAAGTATTTCTGTTCTGTGTTTTCTTGAGTGCTGTCTTACCGAAGTTTTATCTTTTGCAGTATGGACAAGCTTCCTGTGCTGCAGTCCTGTGGTGGCTTCTCAGTGTTCCTTTTGGACTGCAGAGCCTCCCTGTGTGCTTTGCTCCCTAGATTTTGCTTTCCATACCAGCCAGCAGTCAGGCTAGCTGGAGGAGATGAGGCATGACCTGTACAGTTTGTTAGTGGACGATGGTGAGAGCATGAAGCAGTATTTATGTCCTGAGTATTGATGAGTATGTGCATCATAAGCCAGGGGCTTTGGGGACAGAAATCCTGAATTTCACGTTTTGGGTTTTTGTTTTTTTTTTTAATATTGGTCATTTTTAATACTGTAACATACTTGTTACCATAGGCAGATAGTTTTTGTTGGAGTTTTATGTTGTACAAATGGAGATGGATTCTGCTTCATGACAGTTTCATTGGTACAAAAATTCCTTTTCCTCCTTTTTCCCCTTTTGTTTATTTTAATTCTTGCCACTCTGCAATGAAAGCTATCTTGGTAACTGTCCATTTTTGGAATGGCACTGAGTGATGCTGACAGGAGAACCTTTCTGTGTGATTCTGCTATGCGTGACTTCAGTTGGAAATACCAAAAATAAGCCAGAAAATAATACACAAACGTTAACAAGACACCAATGTCTTAGAATCTTAGCGGTATGTAGGGACCCAGGATGGTGTGTTATAGATGAGGATAACAAGTAATTTTCTCCACATCTTAAGTCTAGGATGTTTGTCCAAAGCTTTTTATTGTTTTCTCATAGCCACTGAGAACTCTCTAGTTCTTCAGCTGTGAGATGGCGCTTACTGTTCAGTAGGGCACATACAGCTGGAACCCAGGAAATAGCAGTTGGTTGGATGTTACCAGCAGAAGGATTCTACAGTGCTGTTGTGGTAGAAATCCGTGAGCACTTCTCAGCAGTTCTGTAGTTGGAAGAGAACATGGGGGGATTATTTTTGGTTTGTTTTGCTTGTTTCTTGCTTTGTGTTACTATTTTCTGTTGCGTTCTCTTGTGTTCAAAGCGTGTGAAAAGCTTGTTTGTGTTGTTGGCCCTTCCAGCTTTCTCCAGAAGCATATTTCAGCAGGTGAGGCACCAACCAACAAACAGGCATCTTTGGGGGAACACAGAAAGAAGTGTTTATCTAGTGTTGTTACAATGGCAAGGTGATATTGTGGCATCGGAAGAAGATAACAAGAGCTGTCTGGATATGGATTTCTCACAAAAATGAAGCTGTTGAAGTATGATTTGGTGCTGTGTGTGTGAAGTAATCTGTAATTTTCTTCTTTTGCAGAGCTAAACTGAAGAACCACGAGTATGAAACATTAGATCAGTTGGAGGCTGACCTGAACTTAATGTTTGAAAATGCCAAGCGTTACAATGTCCCCAATTCTGCCATCTATAAGAGAGTTCTGAAAATGCAGCAGGTTATGCAGGTACCTGCAGTAGAACAATCAAAAGGATGTAACTTTTCATATGAATTTATTTCCCTAAGTAATATTTTTCCAAACCAATTTCTAACAAGACTCATGTTTGCAGTAGTGTTTGCAGTAGTGTTTTTATTGGCTGTGATTGCCTTGTTGATCATGTGTTCCATAGTGTCCTATAATGTCTAAATAGTAGTCTGAAAATTGCTTCCAAAAGTAGTTGATTAGGAGGTGATGTGTGGGAATGAAGAGCAGCATGGAGTGATTCCTCCAGTATAACTGTTACCTTGGTCTCTTGGTCACTCTTGTTCCTTATCACAGCTTCTAACCTGATAAAGTTGTGAGGAAAATTGAAAAAAATGCTGTTTGTATTTCTCTCTTTCCCCTTTTTTATTTCAGTTTACAGTTAAATACAGGGAGGTGGAGGATGCTGAAGATTTCATTAGATGTTCCAGCTATGTGCTGTAATCTGAAATGGCTTTGATTTCAAATTGTTCCCCTAAGAACTTCAGTGACCATTTTGTGTCTGCAAACTCACGTGAAATAGATAAATGAAATATTTTAATGGTGCATTTGCCTTTATGTGCAGAAAACACATAGCTGCATTTTATCTTGTGCATCTGATCTGGTCTTTAATATTGTTCTGAATGTGTCCAGCAGTGACTTCAGCCGTTTGTCCTTTCTTCAGGCAAAAAAGAAGGAGCTTGCTCGGAGAGATGACATTGAGGATGGGGACAGTATGATTTCTTCTGCTACATCTGATACTGGAAGCTCCAAAAGGAAAAGGTGTGTGCTTCTGTAGTCTCCTGTAGACTTTAACATTGCTATTTTGTTTATTTATTATTTTCTTTGTTTATTCTTAGAGAACACTAGGCTGTGTTCTAGCATTTGTGTAGTGATTGAATAGCTCTGAAACTTAATCTCATTAATTGTTCTAGTTAGTTAAAAACTGTTTGCTGACATTAGTTTCCTTTTGGGCTAGTTAGTAGATGTCAACAGAACTGTAATAAGTGGGCACTGGAAGCACTGATGTCTCTTTGCATACGTTTTCCTTCTTCCATTCTCTAAACCATTTGAGAAAATCTTGGCAGAAATGTTTGGACTGTTTCTCTGCCTCTCCTTATCTTTTGAAGGAAATTCTGACTTTCAATAACATGATTGCAAGTGTAGCAACTATGTGTGAAACTGCAGTTCAACATCCCTGTTAGATGTTCAGACTCCCCTATTTTTAGTTCTTCCTAATGTCAAAATGACAGCAGTTATGGGGGCAGGAAGGGAATGAATAGAGCAAAGATCTACTTAAGAGCAATCAAGTAAGTGCATCGCTTACACAGAAGAAAAATCTGCACGGGGAAAACATTAGCATGGATTTAGGAGGTGGTGCAACCCAGAGATGTGAGCAAAAAATAAAAGAAGCAGAAAGGTAAGGCAAACCACCACATCAAATGAAGATCAAGAAGGAAAAAATTGCAAAAATTGTCATTGTTGTGATCTTCAGTATCTAATGAACCAAGTCAAATTGTCATCAGTATTCTTGAAATTCAGTGCTTTGATCCTGTGCAAGAGAATACTGAAATGCTTAAAAGAGAATATCTGTCAGACCTTGTCATCTAAGGGGGGTAAAAGAAGGAAAAAATCTTCATAGGTAAGGGAGGTAATTGTATGTATTTTATGTCTGAAGTGAACCTAAAGTGCTTTTGATGCTGTCAGTTCAGCATTTGCTATCACATTGACTTGCTGAGAGGCAGCAAGTAAAAGACAACTGTGAAAGCTGATGGTAACAGAGGTGCAGCATGGAGGAATTGCAAGATATTGAAAGAAAATGTTAATGCACCAGGCAAAATGCATCCTGTTGGGAGAGTAATAGTGTTTTCTACTGATGGTGTTGTTCGAATTTCCCCTTTTACTTGTCAGATAAGTCTGTCTAAACAAGGCTTTTGATGTTTCTGTTTTGTTTTTGCATCACCTACTTTTGTTAGACTAAATGGTAAATTTTGGAAGCATGTTAAAGTGTGGATGGAATTCAAGGGCAGTGTAACTGTTCTGGTATCGTTCATCTGCTGTTGTGAACCATTAATTAACAGCATCCAACAGTGAAGGTAGAAAGGGAGAGGGGAGTTCTTTATATAGGCAATCCATTTTGATTTTTCTGACATGTTGGAACATTGATTTTGTTAGTTAATTGCAGGCAGTATCAGAGGCACAAAGCCATACAAGAAGACCTGCCTGGATGCCTACCTGTGCGACCTGCTGTAGGGAACCTGCTTTGGCAGGGGGGTTGGACTCGATGATCTCTGGAGGTCCCTTCCAACCCCTACAATTCTGTGATTCTGTGATTCTGTGATTAGGTGTATTTCAGATGAATATCTTTGAGAAGGAGCCAGGTGATGGAAAAACTACGATGCAGTTTGGCTTGCTTTACAGTGATGTTTTATACATTCTGCAAATGTTGATGGTTTTTTTTGTTGATGTCTATAGAAATAGTTGAAGTTACGTCTACCTGAATAAGTGTTTTGTAGAGATTGCAATTTGAAAGATGGTTCAAAAATGCTTTGTGGAGAATGCATTTCTAAATGTGCTATGATATCTGAGTTTAATAGTAACACAAGCTTTCTTCTTCCATCCGATTTGTTACAGACCCTGTAGTGTATATACAGGGAGCCATGCAGGACTTGATTTATCTATTTTTCCTTCTAACAATCTTCATCCTGGTTATGCTGTCAGATTTCATGACCCAATCCTTACAGCACACATAGGATGGCTGTGGAATTTGTGGTGTTGGTATGGAGGTGTGACCACTTTTCAGGGTGGGTGTTGCAGTACTGGTAAGGTTGACTTGTGGCTCTGAGTGTGGTTGATGTGTTTAGGCAATTCAGGCCATCTTCCTCCTATGTTCTCAGTATCCTTGCTATCTGTTACTGCAAAAGGTGCTGAAATACACATAGATTAATGTCTCACATCTTTGATGTTCTGTTTTCAGCAGAGGTGGTCAGGAAGGCAGTGATTGCTGTATTTTTTGAGTTCTTGGATTCACGTGTTCGCTCCTGACTGATCTGTTCTCCCTGCAGCTGGAAAGTGCTCAGAACTCCATCTGATCTTTTGTATTTTTATTTTTTAAAGCGAGTGATTTGTTTTACTCTGTAGAATGTTTCAAAACAAGGTGGAAATGGGGGGAAATAATATCCTAAAGATGGTTTCCTGCTATTTAGCAGAGTACTGATAGTGGTGCTGTCGTTATTTGCAAATTCATTTGGAAATCCAGCACAGACTTGCATTTCTACTACTCTGTCTTAAAGTTGTGCTTGTTTTCTTATTTTAGAGAATAATGTCATTTTGATAGGAGTGCTGGAAGAGCCTTCAGCATTTACTCTTTCCCTTTTTATTCTTCTCCATGACCTAACAGTAAAAAGAACATGCGAAAGCAACGAATGAAGATCTTGTACAATGCAGTTCTGGAAGCTCGAGAGTCGGGCACAGGCAGACGGCTCTGCGACCTGTTTATGGTTAAGCCATCCAAAAAGGACTATCCAGATTACTATAAAATTATCTTAGAGCCAATGGACTTGAAAATGATAGAACACAACATCCGTAATGATAAGTATGTAGGGGAAGAAGCCATGATTGACGACATGAAGCTCATGTTCCGAAATGCAAGGCATTATAATGAGGAAGGCTCCCAGGTACTGTTTTGATTCTGCAGTCATACTTAACCTTCTTTGCAGATACGTAGTTGGATTTTTTTAGCTTTGACTATTAGCTCCGGTATTTATGGTAATTGTTTACTTAGATAGAACGGAAATGTGACTTTCTTTCTCCTCGAGTTTTTAATTCTGATTTGCTGTGTAATTGTATAAATATGAAGAGAAGCATGCTCCCTTAATTATTTAACTATGAAGATTGCACTTACTTCCTGTTCACTTGGCTTATTGCTTCACTACAAAGAACTGTCGGCTGAGTATCTCCTGTATGTTAATAATAACTCTGAGCTGGTTATTGAATTTTCATTATTTATCACATTAAGGTGTTTGCACTGTGGAGGGTCACCAGCACTTGTTCAGGAGCTCAGAACCTCTGAAAAGGCATCTATTAGTCGAAAGAAAAACAACATCATTATCATGGAAGTAGAGAATGTGGAAGATCAGACTAGAGGAATGGACTTGTTAGCACAGCAGAAGTATTCTGAGATGAATATGCTTTTCACTTATGAATATATCTTAATGGACAGCTAAAAGAGGGATGTAAGGTGATGTTGGGCAGAAAGGGGCATAGATGGTCATGAGAATGCTTGGGAGCTAAAAGTGTTTTTCTAGGTGAGCAAGCTTGATGTTGCAGAACAGGGTGACAGTAAGAAACCTCTGGTTATGCTAGTGAGAAACATGATCAGATGCCATACAGAAACAGTTGCCTGCGCTGGACTTGGATTTGGAGACCCAGGAGGGCTGTTCTAGGCATTTCTTCCGTAATGGAGCTGCGTTAGTTGGAGAGATTGTTGTTGAACAGAATGATTTGATAGGGAAGTTGATAAGGCAACCTTGTTTTCTAATCTGGAAAAGAAAGTTTAATTGGCTAATTTTTCAAACTTTTATATCTCACCGATTTATGTTTATCAATTCTGCTTACCTTTATATATGTGCTGAGTGTGTATAATTGAGAAATAATGCCTTCTTTTCAACCACATAGCTGATTTTTGCCTTCATCTTTTTCAAAATAGCATCTAAATGTCTCAAGAGGACTAGTACTAAACTTGTCCTTAAGGTCTGGATTTGGCTAAATCTCAGCACCCTGAGACAGCAGGAATTACCGCCATAAAGTTAATCACCTTATGCTAGAGTGCATCAGGAAAGTTCTTCATACTGTGTGAGGCAAACACAGTAAACCTGCTTTTGTGTTTGTTTTGTTTTTGATGACTGATCAATAGGTATACAATGATGCCCATATGCTGGAAAAGATCCTCAAAGAAAAAAGGAAAGAACTCGGACCACTGCCTGAAGATGATGATGTTGCATCCCCTAAACTAAAGCTAAGTAAGACAACGTTATCAATTGCCGTGCTTCCACTGAACACTTGCCCAATCCAGGAATACAGACTGGCAGACTCATCCTTTTGAAATGGGAGATGTTGTCTGCGTTTTTACACTGTCAGGCAAAGCATGATTTTATTTTCAAAATGATGATGCCAGCTGTGGTTTTTATACATGCATGTTAGTTTTTGTATGTGCTGTTGCATATCGCAATTTCTAAGAAAAGTAACAGAATGAAGGAGGAAAAGTTTAGAGCTGCTGGATTGATGTGGCATGTGGCATATTATCCAAATGTTAAATGCTACACTGTGTACTCAGAAACACCTCTGTAATGCGTGCTTACAAGTAAGATGCTTCACAAGCTGAGTCAACCATAGTTTCCCTGGTCAGATATCTGGGATTTCCACAGAATGATGAAGGAAATTTGACGTCTAATTGGAGAATATTGAAAACACAGAAGCAAAGTTTGTGACAGTGTCCATTCTTGGGGCTGTTGCCCGTAAAAACTAATTTGCTACTACTCACATCTGCTTAGAAGTTAGCTGAGAAGATTTACATTGCACAGAAAGATTTAAAGAGAGTAACCGTGAGCAGTTGCAGAATCACAGAATGGCCAAGGTTGGAAGGGACCTCAAGGATCATGAAGCTCCAACCCCCTGCCACATGCAGGGCCACCAGACTCCCCATTTAGTACCAGCCCAGGCTGCCCAGGGCCCCATCCAACCTGGCCTTGAACACCTCCAGGGAGGAGGCATCCACAGCCTCTCTGGGCAGCTGTTCCAGCACCTCACCACTCTCATAGGAAAGAACTTCCCCCGACATCCAACCTAAGTCCTTCTTGGACACTGTTGAAAACAGAAATGTGCACCTCTTTGCTACACTACAGTTAGTAGGGAATTCACAGGCAGGTACTATGCAGCACAGTAGTGGAGATTTTGTGTATGTCAAGAAGCTCCTCTGACTGGTAACCCAAGGAGGTGCATTATTTTACCCTTAGAAATTCTAATTTGGCATAAACCTGTGATAGAAGGATCTGGTAATGTTTCTGATTTATGCTTAATTTTGGCACTAGTGAAAACCTGGGTTTTTAATGGACATGGAGGAAAAATACATTAGGAGCTAATAAGGCCAAATTGAATGTAAAGCAACTTAGTAAAAGTGAGGTAAGGTGAGGAAAAAATTATTTTCCATGCTGAAGGCTGAAGAGACCTTTGCCTGCTGGGCCTTAAAGCAATGTATGATTCAGAGTTCACTAAAAGTAGCGTTAAAAAAAATGCCATGCAATTATTAGAAATAAGAAAAGAAGCTGCAACTTGGCTTAGGCTCAGTGGTTTCTTTGCTTGTACTGTAAAGTGCTTCTTCACTGGGCATTTCTCTAACAGAAAGGCGTGGACAAAGAAGTACTGATACTCATTTTTGTAATGATTTTTTTCTTCTTCTGTCTACGCAGGTAGAAAAAGTGGCATTTCCCCCAAAAAATCGAAATACATGACCCCAATGCAGCAGAAATTGAACGAGGTGTATGAAGCAGTTAAGAATTACACGGACAAACGGGGCAGGCGGCTGAGCGCCATCTTCTTGCGGCTGCCGTCTCGGTCTGAGCTGCCCGACTACTACATAACCATTAAGAAGCCGGTTGACATGGAGAAGATCAGAAGTCACATGATGGCCAATAAATACCAGGATATCGATTCCATGGTAGAAGACTTTGTGATGATGTTCAACAACGCTTGCACCTACAATGAGCCAGAATCTTTGATTTACAAAGATGCCCTGGTCCTGCATAAGGTTTTGCTTGAAACTCGAAGAGAGATAGAAGGAGATGAGGATTCTCATGTGCCCAATGTGACTTTGCTAATTCAGGAACTTATCCATAACCTTTTTGTATCTGTTATGAGCCACCAGGATGATGAGGGCAGATGCTACAGTGATTCCCTAGCTGAGATTCCTGCTGTTGATCCCAACTTCCCAAATAAACCTCCTCTGACTTTTGACATTATCCGAAAAAATGTTGAAAATAATCGCTATAGACGACTGGATTTGTTCCAGGAGAACATGTTTGAGGTACTGGAGAGGGCAAGGAGAATGAACAGGTGAGCAAAGCCACATTTTGCAGATATCTGTTGTCATACAGCGTGTTTTGTTGGTTAGGGAGACTCAAGTTTTTAATTTTTAGTGTTTGCTTTTCTTGGAGTGAGCGCTCAGAAATTTTAGTTCATTCATGTCTTCAAAGGAATGTAAGTTTTCTTTTATAAACAAGGAAAAATTTAGGCTTCTGCTACAATTTTGATGCTAATGTTCTAAAGATTAACCTTATGAAAATCACATTTGTTCCAAAGCTGTGAGCCCTTTAAAACGTCCAGCAGTGTTTAACTTGAATTAGGAAAGACATCTTTGTTAATATTGCTATTACTCCTTAAGTTCTCAGAAGTAATGCGTGAAAATGAACAGACTGGCAGGGGCCAGTGGCAAGTAATTTTAGTCTCAAGCAGTTGGTTTTCATTTTTCTGTTATTTTAGAACTTGTGTATAAAAAAATGCTGCTTTTAGATAAACTGTAAAACAAACTGACATCATACTAGCAGATGGAGCACGACTTGGCAGTGTCTGTGGTGCCACCTGTTATGAGTAAGCACAGAAATCTGTTAGTAAAGTGAAGCTTTAGCATGCATCACCCATCCCGTCGGTACTAAAGTTTGTCATTATTTCCTTGGAAGCAGTCTCTTCTGTTTTGTTCTTTTGCTTTGCTTGCTTATTTGGGTGTTGCTTTTTGTTTTGTTTTTACCGTATCAACTTGAGTTACGTTGAATGATCTTGTCTTCTTTTTACTTTCACATTCTTTTTTAAAGAAGTCAGCAGTGCTTTACGCTGCAAATTGTCTCTGGAGTTTGTCGGAGTTCCACCTTGAGGTGGATCATGAGATGCTTCTCTAGGTTGATATCTGTGTGGCCGTCGAGCAATCTGGTAGTGGTGATTGCTCTAATCTGCCTTTTTCTTCACCTTCACTGAGATTTTTAAGTTTTGCAACTGGAAAACCTGCAGTAAGTTTCAAAAAAGGCAAAGGCCATCTTCAGCTGAATACCTCTGCAGATAAGAACGACCTGTAACTATTCAGTTGTGTTTGACTGGAAACTGTTCACTTTGGCCGCAGACGATCAGTCACCGTTTCATTTTCCAGGAGATGTAAACATACCCCTTTGTAACCTTCTTCATTGTAAAGATACCTTTTCTTTCCTTATGATGAACTCTGTAGCTCAAATACAATTTAATCTGCTACTCAAATTTGAATAGTAGCACAGGTTAAGCTTAATTTGCTAAACTTTCATTTTGTAAATTCTTTCAAATAAAGGGTAGGTGACAAGCAAGGCTTAGCCTCCTAGGCTTACACTTTCAGTTTTAAGCTAGTAGCCAAATTAGATACTGAAATCATCTGTGGTAATTTTACAGACAGGCTATAGAAGTGTATATATGTGAGGTAAAAGAGCATTATTTTTTTAAAGAGGAGTTTTATTGCAAAGTATGGAGGTCCATGGGTGTGTGTGTATGCTTTAGGATCCTGTTTGACTGCACAAAGTTATGTTTCTGCCATGTTATATTGTACCTGCTTTTGTACAGGACGGATTCAGAGATCTATGAGGATGCAGTTGAACTTCAGCAGTTCTTCATTAAAATTCGAGATGAACTCTGTAAAAATGGAGAGATTCTTCTGTCGCCTGCTCTCAGTTATACCACCAAGCACCTTCACAATGATGTAGAAAAAGAGAAGAAGGAAAAGCTACCCAAAGAAATAGAGGAGGATAAACTCAAAAGAGAGGAGGAGAAAAGAGGTAGCTATTTTCATTGGTATTAAATGTACTGAGAATATACCTATGTGTGTCGTGTGTGCTCTGCTGTTGCTGCAGCTTCACTTACTGAAGGTTATATTTTAAGGTGATGAGAGATTTGTTTTATTTTGATCCTTATCAGCTGGGCCCACATGGCTTTGAAACAGAGAGAAATGTAGACACTAACCCTAAGTAAACTCTTCAATAGAACACATGAGGAAACAGTAGTCTAACTCCAGTTATATCACAAAATAAAATAATTGGGTAGGTTTTATTGTAGCTGGTAATAAACTTAGCAATGACTGTTCCAATGGACCTTTGAGTCATTTACTTTTTGGTAAATATAATTTTCCTTGATATGCTGAAGGTGTTATCTCTGATCATACTTTCTTGTTACTAATGAGATGACATTAAAGTAAGCCTCTTGCATTTCTTATTTGGCTGCTGTGGGTATGAAGAGGAAAAAAGCTTTCAGCTTTCATGGGGCAAGATACCTACTGTGAAGATCTTTTGTTTCATGTTTCCTGCACATATAATGGCTGGTGGAGCATGTCATGTGGGGACTCAATACAGCTCTCTACCTGTTCTGTTCCACACATATGAGCAGGGCTGTTAGTTCCTTGTCCTTCAGTTGTCTTTCTGACAGTTTGCCTTCCCGTGTGGCACTAAGGTCAGCAGCAGTAAAGCTGGTTGCTCCAACTAACTCAGTACCGTAAGGGAACAGCAGCTGTTAATACCCTTTTTTGGTCTTCCACTGAGAATTAAAAAAAAACAAAGAAAGCAATACATGCCTTTCTGAAGGCTTTTGAGGTCAGTCTTGTCAGCGTTTATCTTTCCTCACCTGAAGGGCTCAGTAAAACTCAGGTGGTTCTGTTTACTCAGTTATCTTAGAATATCCAAATCTGAAAAGGACCCACGAGGATCATCAAGTGCAGCTCCAGCCTCTGCACAGGACCACCTGAAATCCAAATCCCATGTCTGAGAGCAGTGTCCAAATGCTTCTTGAGCTCTGGCAGCTTGGGGTTGTGACCACTGCCCTGTGCAGCCCAGCACCCCCTGGTGCTGAACCCCAACCCTCCCCTGACTCTCCCCTGAAACAGCAGCTCTGTGCTGTTCCCTCACCAGAGAGCAGAGCTCAATGCCTGCTCAACACTACACTCGTAGCCAACAAGCATTACCAGTTCATGGTCATTCACCTGCTTGCAGCCATCTGCTTTTCTTCACATTTACTTGCTCTTGCATACGTGTTATGGTCAACAATACTGACAAAAATACTGTTTTATGAGTAATTATTTTCATTACAATTTAAAAATAATTCACTGAACAAAACTTACTTGATTCAATCCAGGAAACATAATTCCTAAATGATTAAGAAGTTGGTAGCTTGATTTTAGAGTCCCTCTCTTGTTCTGTAGGACACACTTTTATTGCTCTTTGTGAGTTATTCAGCACCAAGCAAAGGTGCAAGTGTTCACATCAGAAATCATGGTTAACATGTAAATGTAGAATTAGCAATGTTTGTTTTCCACCTGTTCTTGAAAACAGAAGCTGAAAAGAGTGAAGACTCTTCTGGCTCAGCTGGGCTGTCATGCTTGCATCGGACCTACAGCCAGGATTGCAGCTTCAAGAACAGCATGTACCACGTAGGAGACTACGTCTACGTGGAGCCTGCTGAAGCCAACTTGCAACCTCACATAGTCTGTATTGAGAGGCTATGGGAAGATTCTGCTGGTAAGAGTGCTTTTCATACAGAAAGACAATACAGTGAAGCTTATTACTGTTTCCATCTTCAAATTTGAGCCTTTTTTGTGTTAACTATTGGATTTGCAGAAATGTGTGGACTGCTGAGTATTTTTTCTTGTTTCTTTTTGCTCTGTCCCAAAATAATTATGAATAGAAAGAAAGTTCTTGGATCAACCCATAATTTTTTTTCTTATGTTCTTCTCAACTCATCCCCAAATTGTCAGCATCTCAGAAAATAGGCATTTTGAAGTGGATTGAGCTTCTTCTAATTTAGATGCAGAAGGATGGCAACAGAAATTTCTGAACCAAAGTTGGACACGTACAACTGCAAATGTTGGAAGCCATTTGAAGGCTTGGAAGTAAAAGATATCTATAAATAAGTTGCAGAGTCTGTTTCCTGTAAATGATCGATTCTGTAGATCTCAGCAAAACAAAGATGAAATTAATTCTTCTGGGGGGGAAAAAAAGTTTGCAGGATTTCTAAGAAACCTAATTTTCTTTACCCAAAGCAGTTAAGGAATCTTTCTTCCTTAAATTGGTTAAGTTTGTTTCACTGATTATTATGTGGCTATCTGATAAAACCGTTTGCAGTTTGTTTTGCTTCTTCATGCACTAGAGAATACACGTTTTTAGATCTTTTCCTTTCTTCCTCTCTTTTTGTTTCTTTTTTAAAGGAGAGAAATGGCTATATGGCTGTTGGTTTTATCGACCAAATGAAACATTTCATCTTGCAACAAGAAAGTTCTTGGAGAAAGAGGTTTTTAAAAGTGACTATTATAATAAAGTTCCAGTTAGCAAAATTTTGGGTAAATGTGTGGTCATGTTTGTTAAGGTGAGAAACTCTTTGGACTAATTTGCTTATTGACTTAATATGCTCTGTGCTGTTTTCTTGAGGAGGTGTAGGTACTCTGATCTGTAGGCATTTTAGTAACACTGAGATAAAGTTTTTAAAAGGATTCGCTCCCATGTACTGCTTGTGTTTTTTGTTTGCTTTGTAAGCTCCGTAGTTCATCCACGTGACACTGATTTTCAGTACTGGTTGCTTTTTGGAATCACGAATTAGATGAGTAGCTAATGAATTTCTCAGAGAATCCATTAGAGAAGTTGCAGGTAATGTCGTAAAGGCTGAAGAATACTTGAGACTCCCCTTGAGTGCAGTGTTGGTAAGAAGATGAAGTCTCTGCTGTCTGTCCCATGTTTGATACCCTGTTGTTCTTGTGAAACTGTACGAGAAGAACTCGGTAGACAGGCTGTATCAGTCTGAAAAGGCTTCTGATAAAAGCATAGAGAAAGCTGGAGCGCACGAAAGGGAGTACGCTGTAATTCTGGTGGCTGCTGGGTGTGGGAACGTTGCTGAAATATTTCACCTAAAAATGTCGTCCTCTTCGTTCTGCAGGAATATTTTAAACTGTGTCCTGAAAACTTTAGAGATGAGGATGTGTTTGTCTGCGAGTCGCGTTATTCCGCTAAGACAAAATCTTTTAAGAAGATTAAACTGTGGACTATGCCTGTCAGCTCTGTAAGATTCGTCCCACGAGATGTGCCCCTGCCTGTGGTCCGTGTTGCTTCTGTATTTGCTAATACAGACAAAGCAGAGGAGGAGAAGCACTCTGATACGTTAGATGACAGTAAGGTGGGGGAAGGTATCCTTCATCTCGAAAAGGTATGCAAGATGGAAAGGTTTGACAGATAAAGAATGATGAATGTTTAAGCCTGCACAACTTGGGTTTCTCAGCATCCAGCCATGGGAAAAAATGTGTATAATATTCATGTTTAAAGTTATTTTACATTCATTACAGAGATACAAACAAATTATAACCCGACTAAGCAAAAAGTGAGTTGTGTACCTATTTGCTAGGTTTTACAAAATGCTTTCTTGTGACCATGGTAAGGGTTATTTTTTTTTCCTTCACTGCTTCAGTAGAAAATAATATTTCTACTAAAAACTTCGTTGCAATCCTGGAGAATCAGTGGATCTAAAAGTCTAATTTCAACTGACATTGATCCTAACCTGCTTTTTGAAGTAGTCTTTCAGTAAAATTGTTAGTAGCAAGGCAGGAGTAAGCAGTACATAATAAACACTGTGGTTTGTGGTTAACAACCAAGTAGTTTACGTTTTTTTTTTCTGCACAGCCTACTAGGAAGACTGGTTTATTTTATTGTATTTAAAGTTATAAGGAAATATACTTTTTTAATTGTGTTAAATTGCAGTAAATTTAATTGTTTATATGAAATAAATTTGGAGTAATGAGATGAGTCTATTTTACATTCTGAGCACTAACAGAGCCTCAAAATGGAATGTCCAGCATTGCCACTTAGTATACACTGTGTGTATTACTGTATTTATTTGCTTCACGACAAAAGAAGAAGTCCTTTCTACCAAGAGGATGAAAGCTTCTGAAGTCTTTTCCTGACACACACTGAGGGGATATCCTGTGTTTCCATTGGCTTTCTGAAATAACAAACAGAGAAGTCAAATGAAGCTTGAGGCACCAAAGAGAAATTAAAATAGAGCAAACTGCATGATTCTGTTCTTAAAAGCATGGAGCAGTTGTGTAACTGTGATAAATGATCATTACACTTTTATTTCTTTTAACTTCACCAAATACTGAATTCTTGCCTTCTGTAAGTTTTAGTGTGCTTTAAAACAAGCCATCAAAGTAGACAGATAAGGCTTCAAAGTTTATGACTTTGTAGTAATAGCACAAAAAAGGATCTGTGAATTACTGGCAAAATTACAGCTTTGATTATGAAATAGGAAGGCTTGCAACGTACATAGAGGGATAGCTCTGGCTTGGATATTTCATTTTCTAAAGTCCAAGTCCCCTAATTTTTGCTTTTACTTGTCTAGTTGGGGTGTTGCCTATTATTGGTGACATAAAGGTGGAGCAGATACTCTTCTCCTTGCACCTGGCATCATTGTGTTTAGTTTCCGTTGTCCCACAAGTTTCTAAGTGCGTTTTCTTTTGCAGGACAAAGAAGATGTACCAGTAGAAATGTCTAATGGGGAGCCTGGTTGCCATTACTTTGAGCAGCTCTGTTACAATGATATGTGGCTTAAGGTTGGGGACTGCGTCTTCATAAAATCGCACGGATTAGTGCGGCCTCGGGTAGGGAGGTAGGTCACACTTCTTTATTGCAGTTTGTGTCTATCAAAATACATTGGCCAAAAGACTGGATTATTGCAAAAAAAGTGTAGAAGAGGATGGGAGAAAAAAATCTTTTGAATGAGACTGTGTTAGAAGCTCTTACTAGGCTGAGGTGGAATTGTGTCAGCCTGTTAAAAAAGGTAACGGCTGCACAGTCAGAGCAGGCTGCACTTCAGTACTTGTTTCGTGCCCACAGTCTTCCTGAACAGCCCAGTGTATCTAGCTTACTCCCTTAGTAAGGATGGCCTTGCACTGATGTCAGTGATATGTTTTTCTTTCCAGAATTGAAAAGATGTGGGTGCGAGATGGAGCTGCGTATTTCTTTGGTCCAATCTTCATCCATCCTGAAGAAACTGAACATGAGCCAACTAAAATGTTCTACAAGAAGGAAGTGTTTCTGAGTAACTTGGAGGAGACCTGTCCTATGTCGTGCATTTTGGGTAATTCCTAGCAACTTTAAACCCCCTGGGCACTCTGTACATTTAAAAGGAAAAAGCAAACAAAAATCTGAAGTCACAGAGTAGAAAACTCCATTATCCTTGCTTATTCATGTAATTATTCCAGTATATGTACCTGGAAAGTCAGCTCAGAAGGAGGTTGATATTTGGTTTGTTGAATAAGATGACTGTTACGTACTTCATTCTGTAATTCTGCATTGTGACTGGCAATGGCTTTTTTTTGTTAATCTTTTAATTTTATTTTTTTTCTTTAAAAAAAAAAAACAACTCCAAAAGCTGCGTTCAGTTGGTGTAGGTTTCTCATGAGTGACATTACTTAACAGAGATGTCAGTTGATGTATTTTTCCACAGCTGGGTCAGACAGTGGGCTGATACTTACATGACTAGTGAAAATTTGAATTTCCACCCCTTTTTGTAAAGGATCTGCCTTCTAACTCAGCTCTGTTCATTTCTGCAGGCAAGTGTGCTGTTCTGTCGTTCAAGGACTTCCTCTGCTGCAGACCAACTGAAATTTCTGAGAATGATGTTTTCCTGTGTGAGAGCCGCTACAATGAAAGCGACAAACAAATGAAGAAATTTAAGGGGCTCAAGAGATTTTCACTCTCTGCAAAAGTTGTCGATGATGAAATTTACTATTTTAGGTAAAAATGTTATGGGAATGAGGAGATCTCCTGAGCACTCTGTGTTGAGGTGTGTTGACCCACCCAGCAGCTGAGCCCCTATGCAGCCACTTGTACATTTCCCATAGCATGAGGAGAAAATGAAAAGGGCAAAAGCAAGAAACAGTCTTTTGTTAATATAAAGGCAGCATAGTTACTGATGCAAAGCTATGCATGCAAGCAAAGCGAAATAGGAATTCTCTACTTCCCATCAGCTGGCAGATGTTTAGCTGCTTGCTGGAAAGCAGGGCCTCAGCACAAGCTGTGGTTTCATGGAAAGACAAATGCCATAACCCCACATCCATCACCTTCGTTTCAGTCAGTTGAATATGGAGATGGTTAAGGCCAGGTTGAGAGGGCCCTAGGCAGCCAGATCTCTAGTGGGTGGCCATCAGCCCCTGGCAGAGCTTGGAACCTTCAAGCTCCTTTTCAACTGGTACCATTCTGTGGTTCTGTATCCCTTTAGTCAGTTGGGATCAGCTATCCTGCCTGTCCCCCCACACAGCTTTTTTGCCTGTTCCCAGCCTGCTCACTTTGAAAATGTGGAGAAAAGTTGGTTTTCTCTTCAAAATATTTGCTGTGTCTTGTTGAGTATGAGTGTATTCTCATCTTCCTTCTGTCTTCCTCCTGTGCCTTTCAGAAAACCCATAGTTCCTCAGAAGGAACCATCTCCACTTCTGGAGAAGAAAATCCAGCAGCTAGAAGCAAAGTTTGCTGAGCTGGAAGGAGGCGATGAGGACATGGAAGAGATGGGAGAAGAGGAAGGTGATATCACTGAAACACCTTCCATGCCTCAGCTTCAGACTCCGTTATCTAGTGAATTGGATATCATGCCTTATACTCCACCGCAGGTAAACATGTTCCTTGAGGGACCTTTAAGTGCTGATATTCCTCATTCTTACCTCAACCCCATTAAACAAAATGCAGTAGTGTTTTATCACATCTACAGAACAGATTTATAGTTTGATTTATTGGTCTGTGGAGTGATGACACAGAGCAGTTTTAGCATGTCCAATACGATATCCATATTCTAATTATTGAGTCAGTTAAAATGTTTTTAAAGGAAATCATTCAGCTGAGGAAAATCTCGCAGGGAATGTTCTGTAGATTTCAATGTTCTTTTTTCCATGAGTATGTTTTCTGTGACACTTCTTATGAAATACTGGGTATTTATATCAACTATAAGATTAGGATGCAAGAGTTTAATTGTAATACTTAGGTAACCTGGCATCCATTTTAGAGCTTTTCCTTACATCTTGTAAAAAGCTAGACTGGAGTGTTGGAGTTCTGACTTGTTTCATTTTTTAGAAAATGCTACATATCATTATTGAAGGAAAAAAGATCGCTCCTTTAAGTTACCATTCATACTTGAAAGTCAGAACTTGAGAGGAAAAAAAGTGATGAAAACTTTTTATATGTCTTGCTGTACATTGCAGAAACTTTAATGTGCTGATATATGGGCAGGAAACAAATCAGAAACCATGTGGTTACATGGCATTTGAACGTGCCATGAGTCATTGCTGCTGCTTAAACAGGGCATTTTCAGTCCTCCCTCTCTTACTACTTCTCTCACACATGCCCTGGTATTTATGTAACTGAGTATTGAAGTAGAGTGGGAAACTTTACCTGCGAGTTAATCTAACCAAAAACATTTGTTTGCAACTGGATTAAATTATTTTATTTGTTTCATCACATTCTCACATTTAAGTTAATGCCAGCCTTGAGAAGGCAGTGGGAGTGATGTGCTGGGAACAAGAGGGAGTTTGGGATGTGTTTGTAACCAGCAGTCCGGATTTCTGCTGTGTCATACTAATTCTGAAGTGACAGCCTCATTGGCAGCTGAAGAAACGATGTGACCACTGGGTAGAAATAACTGTCTTTGGATGTGACACACATGTACACACGTTGATGAAATTCACTGCTTTACCTTGGTTTGTTTGTGATTATTTTTTTTGCTGTGTGAGCAGACCACCAAATGCATTTGGTGCAGCTGTGGTTCTGCTCTTATCTTTTTTAATGCTGTGTTCTTAAGTAGCATGAGAATTCTTGCTAAGTGCTAAAAAAAAAAAAAAAAAAAAGATATTGTGTTGTTAATCTGTATTAACTAACATAATTTTGTAGGAGAGGGGACTGTGGCTGCTTATGCATCAAAATATTACCATTGCAGGAATTGCTGGACATTAAAGAATTCCTTGCGCTGCCTTTTTGCAGCATTCGCTGTCTTCTGCTCTCCTTTGCTCTCTGTCTTCCAGTATGGCTGTTTTGTTCAGATCTCTTGAGATGTTTTATTGAGGAACTAATATATAGTGTCTTTTTAAAAAGCCATATTTGAAAGCTGCATTTCTTAGAATTGTTTGTAATGGGACTTCTAGGGTAACTGTTGAGAAATCAGTGGAAATATCCAATGTGTGTGTTTATACTTCAGCCAGATGTGATCTCTGAAGACCAGAAATTGAAGTGGGAAAAGAAAGTAAGAAAAACTGAAAAGGGTCAAATAGCAATGCAGGCTGAAAGTAAAGAACAATTCATAAGGGCCCCTGGGAGATTCCTGATGCTGCTGATTTGGAAAATGTAGGACGCAGTGTCTGAGCTGCTACACAAAGGACAATATAACTGTGGCAGAGTGATTGCAATCGCATAGCACAGAAATGAACCATCTTTGTTGACCTATTGTAATCTGTTCTATTTCTGTCCCCTTTAAAATAAGTTCTTTTATACAGAGCTCCTAGGTAAAAGGCACACGGTTGCTTCATGTTCTCTTAAACACATGCAATTTATCTAACAACTAAAAACCCTGATGGTTTTTACCCCTTTTTCCTGGTAACAAAAGAAGCAAGTATTACTCCTGAAAATTAAATGAGTCAAGCCAAGTCAAGCTTGACAGATGAGTGGATGTTGCCTTCCTGCTGCTGTTTGCTGTGAATCAAGAAGCAGAATGGGAAGGAAAAAAAAAGTGCAATTTTAGTTTTGGTTTTTGCTTTATCATATGGCTGTGAAATGTTGTACGAGTGGGTCTTGGTTTATTTCTTCTCATAACACATCCAAAACAGTTACTTGGCTTGAGTGGAAAATATTCTGTTAGAAATTGTCATAGCAGCAATGTAGAGTAATGGAAAACGTAAGAATTGAATTTAGAATTCTTAAAAAAAAAAAAGTCCTGTTATCTCTCCCAAACTGATGGCCTGACTTTTAAGTGTAATAACATGACTGTTATTAATACACTACTGCAAGCATCACAAAGCAAAACCAGCTGATACATTTGTGTCTGTCTAAGTGCAGAGGCCAAGTCATACAATTATTAAGGTTGGAAACTATCTCTAAGATCATCTAGTCCAACCATCCACCTGCCACCAGTATTGCTCACTATGTTCCTAAGTACTACATCTACCCTTTCCTTAAACACCTTCAGGGACAGTCAATCCACTGCTCCCCTGGACAGCTTGTTCCAATACCTCAGCACTCTTTCTGAAAAGAAGTTCTTCCTAATATCCAATCTGAGCCCCCCCTGGTGCAACTCAAGACCATTCCATCTTGTCCCATCCCTAGTTTCATGGCAGAAGAGACTGACCCCCGTCTTGCCACAGCCTCCTTTCAAGGAGTTGTAGGAGTGATAATGTCTTCCCTGGGCCTCCTCTTCTCCAGGCTGAGTAATTCCAGTTCCCTCAGCTGCTCCTCATAAAGCTTGCACTCCAGCCCCTGCCAGCTTGGTTGCTCTTCTCTGGACATTCTCCAGGGCCTCAGTGTCTTTCATGAAGTGAGAGGCACAAAACTGAACACAGCACTCAAGGTGTGGATTCACCACTCATGACCTGTCACCAGCTGAATTTTGATCTCCATTCACCTCCACTCTCTGGGCCCGACCCTCCAGCCCCTTCTTTACCCAGCACAGTGCGCCTGTCCAAGCCCCGGGCTGCCAGCTTCTGCAGGAGAGTGCTGGGAGAGACAGTGTCAAAGGCTCGGCTGAATTAAAGGAAGTCTGTGCCAACAGCCTTTCCCTATCCACCAGGTGTGGTGGATTTGGAATACATATTCCATATGTATAACTGGATTCTCCTTTTTCTGAACTGAGAACTTCTGAGAAGCTAGGTTATGTTCTGCCTGCACTGTGTGGGGTTTTTCCTTCGTTCTCCATCATAGAGACGTATCTAAAGAATTCCTCCCAAAAAGCTAAATGTTACCCCTGGTTTGTAATGAAAACAGCGAGGGTAGATTGCTATTTGAAAATGAATGCAGTGATGTCTGTAGTAACGTACTGTTATGCCTCAGTTCATCCACCACTTGGCTTAAATTATGAACAAGGCTTTCAGAGTCTCGGTGTAGCTGAAGCTTTGCGTTTCTCTGAGAGATAGGCATTAGACATTTTTCCCCTGCAGATTTTTGGAAATGATTGTGCTGCTCACAGTGTGAGAAGTAATGCTGAAGACGTGGGGAGAGCCTTCTGAAGGTTTTGGTCTGATGAAGCATTTTGGGCCTTATTGGTCACACAGTGGGTGGGTTGTGGTCTCCTGCATCTAATGGCAGGTGTTACCTTGCTGGTTGTCAGAGTAGGTTGAATTTTTTGATAGCTGGAGATGTCTAAAAGCTCTCAGCAGGAGCAGTCTGGATGATGAGAGCAAAGGAGACAGATCTTTAGTGGAACAGAGGATTAGTTACCCATCAACAGGTAGGGCTGTGAACCTGTGTGCAGGTGACACTGAAATTGGGCACTGTTTTTCATTTCCAGGGATAAATGGGTATTTAGGAAATGTGAGAGGAGCAGTAGAAAGGAAAGTTTGACAGGCAAAATGAAGAGCACTCGGAAATGTGAAATTAGGGGGTGGCACCAAGGAGATGAGAGGTGCAAAAGCCCACTATTAAACGTGAAAGCCATTTCATAGAATGTGTGATGGCAAATGAAGTGTTCTACTTGACTCGTGTTGGCAGTATTTCTGAACAGCAAAATAGATGACATATGAAATTAGTACAATTGCTTGTATTCTCTTTTTGCCTTCTAAATAGTTGCTTCCTATTCAGTACTTCTGAGCCCTGTGGGTTAATTTGAAATGACCTCAGCTAATAGCAATTGTTCTGTGCTGAGTTACTGCACACTTTTGGAAGCCGCAGTTACAAGGTTGGCCTTATGTCTGGAAGGGTTGAAAAGCATCATGTTATTGTGTTTTGCTTTTTGCTTTTGTTGTTACTGTGGGGTTTTTTTCACCCCCCTTGAGTGTTTTCTGTAAATGCGTGTGTTTGTGTTGCTCACTGGGAAGCATAGTCTCTTGAGAGGCTGTAAGGTTGGCTGGCCCTCATATGGATGTACAAGAGAGAAAATTGGGGATATTTTTACATGCTATTTCCTACAGCTTTTACTTTTTTTAATGTTAAGAAACTTCTCTGTTGTATACTTGTGGTCATAACTGCTTTTTCTCACAGTCCACTCCCAAGTCTGTTAAGGGCAGCACCAAGAAGGAGGGATCAAAAAGGAAGATCAACATGAGTGGTTACATCCTATTTAGCAGTGAGATGAGAGCTGTGATTAAAGCTCAGCACCCAGACTACTCCTTTGGAGAGCTCAGCAGGCTTGTAGGAACTGAATGGAGAAACCTGGAAGCAACAAAGAAAGCAGAATATGAAGGTAAATAAAATACAAAATGTTAAACTTTTTTTTTTTCTACTTTTTCTCTCTGAACATGTTCATTACTGTTACTCAGATGACCGGTTTTATAAAAGAAGATGGTTATCATAGAATCACAGAATGTCATAGAATTATAGAAATCATAGTTATCGCAGGATGGCTTGTGTTGGAAGGGACCTTCACTGTCCTCTAGTTCCAATCTCCCTGCTGTAGGCTGGCTCCCCCCACCAGCTCAGGCTGCCCAGGGCCCCATCCAACCGGGCCTTAAGCAGCTCCAGCACTGGGGCACCCACAGCTTCTCTGGGCAGCAGTGCCAGGGCCTCACTGCCCTCTGAGTGCAGTTACGTTTGTGTTCTGGGAGTACCTTAAAGAGAAGTTGTATTGAGCGATGACTGAAGAGGAGCAAAGAGCAGGCTTAAATTGTGTAGTGCACAACTGATAATTCAGATGTCTTTGCCACAAATAATCAAATGAGCCAAGATAAAAGAAATGTGGAAAATGAGGAGCAAAAGGGCTCAGTGCCCTTGTCAGCTGAAAACACAGCTTGTAAAAGTTTCCATATGGGAGGACTTTTCGAGGGGGCTGCAAGAAAGGGATCTTTGGACAAGAAGCTCTTTGGAGCTGTAGTGCCAGGTAAGAAAGCTTACAGTGGAGTGGGAAAAAGTTCTTCAGTTAACTGTACTGAGAGTCTGAAAGAGTTCTGTTTAAAAAAAAGAAAAAAAGAAAAAGAAGTATAGATTCAGTTGCAGTGCTGTAAATATGACCTGTTATTCAGTCTCAGTATTAATCACGCGTTGTAATTTTGCTGAGAGATTTTGAAACCTTATGCCAATAAATTTCATAGGCGTGAGATTTACTTTAGAAAGTCCGTTCTCTCCTTCATCCTCTCCTTCATCCTCTCCATCCTCTCCTTTGTCCTCTCCTTCATTCTCTTCTTCCTCACTGATACTGCTTACTGTGTGTCAACTTTATTTGATCAAAGTCAGAATACAGTTGATCCTTAACAGCAGGCCCTATGAAGTCTAATACAGTGGTTTGACAATCAGTTATTTTTCTAGTTAGCAATGTCTCAGCATTTCTAATATAAAGCCCAGTTTTTAAGCAACTGTTGCAGTTTTATTGGGAGAAGATATTACTTTGGTTAGGGAAGTTTCAACACCCTAGGAAGGTATTGCTCAATTAAGTTACAATATTACTTTTAAGAGGTGAGATTTGGTTAGGTTTTTTTACACGCTTATAGTTTATAGTACACTTTGATCCAGACTAGAAGTTTGTGTGCTGTCACTTCACACCCTCAGCCTCCTCAATCCTTTCTGAAGTGCTGGAGGGTAATGCAGCAGGACTGCATGCGAGTTTCCTTTGCAAATGTTGTCAAGGGAAGTGGTAATGCTGTATGTGAAAGTAGTATGGTCTTTCTTTTCCCTGTTGTAGTCTCCTATTTCACCATTCTAGGTGCGTCTGATACATTTTATTGCCAGGTCCCTCCCTGCAGCCTTGCCCAAGCAGTAGGATGGCTGGCATGTCCTCACTTCTAGCATAGAGCAGCTTGCTGCTCGCACTTCCACCGTAATGTGGCAGCAGCAGCGTCTGTCCTTTGTGTAAGCCCAAGTGCTTCCATTTCAGCCTTCCTCCTTACTTACATTTTTTCCAAAGCTTTTGAGTTTTGAACTGCAGTTTCTCTGACTTGCTGTCTGCCCAGGGACAGGCTTGCTTTTATTTGGTTTTGAAGGGTTGCGATGGTGTTCCTCAGAGTCCAAACTCTTTGCTTACTCCTGTGCATGAAAGGAGAGAAACTCTGCTCCTTCCACTGTGACAGTGTGAAATTCATGCACTCCAGGGTGGGCAGAGAGTAGGGAGCAGATATGGTTTGACATTTCAATAGTAAAGTGCCTTTCCCTGGTCTGCTGGGAAAGCAGTTTGCATTTTTGATCCATTTTGATCTACTGAAAATTTCATTTAGTATATGTGCAGAGTGATGGCTGTTCTTTAGCAGTAGTCAAATAAAGAACAGGCTGCATTGGAAGTGCCTGCATGGCTAACTGCACCGTGAGAACTCCTTAATATGAAAGAGTATGTGGGGTTTGAGGCCAAGGCTTGTCTTTAAGGAGAGGTCTGTTCAAAGCAGAATGTCTCTTTCCTGTTTCTTGAGATGCATTGGAAATGGCATTAGAATGATTTCAAGGCCTAGCCTGAATGATGCGAGTGTGAAGGTGAATGCTCCAGGCCAAACTTTCAGACCTCTTAAGTTCCCTCTGGCAGTATTGTTCCATCTGTTAGTTCAATAGTAGACAGGGACAGACCAGGTAAAACTTGAATGTTGTCCTATGTCACATTCTCAGAGGCTCAGCACTCCAAAATCTGATAAAACTGAATGATTAACAAGAATCTCTCATTCATCAAAATGTCTTCAAAACTATTGCTTTTGTCTGACTGTTATTTTCACTGGCCAAGAGTAGTTGAGAGGCAGAACAGCTACTTTATCTTTTCTCTAAATGCTTGCTGTACTCTTAAGATGATTATCTCCATTTTCTACTTCAGGATCTACCTTTAAACGTCTCATGTATTTTGTGGTCAGTCACATGTGAGTTGCCTGTAGTGTACGTAGGAGTTCCTGTGCGTCGTCATCTCCTTCTGAAATGACACAAGTGAAAAGGAAGGAAATGCCTTTGGAAATGAAACCAGTCTTACAGTGCATGGCAGTAGTGCTAGGTGTTGCACAGGTCCTCCGGGACACCAATGCATGGTGAACATTTGCAGTCACGTACTTGAAAAAACTAAGTAGCCTTGGCAGGATGCATGTATAACGTGATCTCCTTGATGAACTTTTTAGCCTTGTTTGACTGAGGACCTTGGTTGCTGTTTTAGTGACAGTTCTCATCTTTCACCAACTGCAAGAGAACTTCCAGCCCTGCATTCACTGTTGTTAACATTTGCTGGAGATGTATGCTGCATTCATTTATCCTTTGTTGTTCCTCATTGCGTCAGTAAGAGATGATGTTCAGAGTGAACAACCAGCAACTTGCATGCTCCAGAAGCACCTTCAGTGGGCATTCGGTATACCTTCTTTTTTGTTTGCTTGGGGTTGTTTTTTGGTTCTCTTTTGTTGTGGTTTTTTTCTTTCTTTCTTTCTTCTTCCCATAACCCTTTGCCCTTCCCTCAATATAAAATAGTCCTCCGGTCAGATTCCCCTGCAGTAGATCTTTTGTTCCTGCAGTCATGGTGAGAAACTCGATTGAGATAATGACCAGATTAATCATACAAAGGACACACATGGCCTCCAGTGAGCAGCTCAGTGTGAGTTAGACATCTTCAGGAAAAATAAAATTAAAAAATCTGAGGGAACAAAAACGGGGAAAATGACAGAGGCAGAGCAGATATTTTTGGTTCATCAAACTGCTGCTTGTTATATTCCAAACGCTAAAGAACCTATCTACTCTAAGAAAACTTTGCAAATGCTTCCCAACTTTGCCACCATTTTTCAGCTCTATCAGTAAAACAAAAAACAAAACAACAACAAAAAAAAAGCACAACAACAGCAAAACCACCACCAATGAAACAGCAGTGGGGAGCACAAAAAGAAATGGGCCACTGGCACTGCTGGCTGCTATTTGCACCTTGCTCTGGGGCACTGGCTGGCAGTGCTGACTGAAGCTGGTCCAGCTGAGCCAGTGGTGTCCAAAGAGGGGAGGCTTTGCCATGTTGTCCTGGTGCAGACTTAGCCTCGTGCTGGACTGCTGCTTCACATTGGTAACACTGGTGTTGTTATCCAATTTGTTCCTTTAAAATTTTTATTTTATTATTTTTATTATTATTAATATTATTTTTTAAGAAAAAGATAAAACTTTGTGGGATATTTTTCATTCAAGGTTCTCTAGAAGTCTTAGCTGCAGCCACATGAAATCAAATCATATGCTGGTTACAAAGATTCATCTGTTCTACTTTATATTTTACTAAAGTATGCCAGTGTTTGACTAGACCTTTTTAATGAACAGATAATATTTTGAAACTCTGGGTTACAAAACAGAACTGAAAATCTAAAATACTTTTACAGAGCGGGCAGCTAAAGTTGCTGAGCAGCAGGAGAGAGAGCGAGCAGCACAGCAGCAGAATCCCTCCCCCCGGGCAGGCACTCCTGTCGGGGCTCTTATGGGGGTGGTGCCGCCACCAACACCAATGGGGATGCTCACTCAGCAGTTGACACCCGTTGCAGGTAAAACGTAGGAGCTACGACCATTTTTCCTCATCCACTGTATCAACCCCCTTCATAACTGAACACGCTCTTGGGTCACTTTGTTCTTACGGAGGAAAACGCTCGGCCTCTTCAGTCTTCCTTCACGGTGAATATGCGTATCTGCAGCAGTAGGGTGGCAGCCCCGGTGCCCTGCCCCAGCAGTGGGCGTTCTGGTGGAAACACAGGGAAGAAGCCTCCTCCTTGTGAGGCAGGCCTGTGCTGTGTGTATGCAGTTATGCTTACTGGCTCTACTTTGCAGAAGTCGTGTTTGTTCTCGCTGCAGCAGTGGTGCGGGGAGCTGAATACTCTTTGAGTGTAAGCAGCATCAGCGGAGGTGGTTCAGGAGGAGACAGAGGACTTGTTTTTGTTGTCGGGATGCGAGAGGCAAAAGAAAATCCAAACCAAATTTAATATCGAAACTCCAGAATTATGATTAGACATGAGTGCAGCTGGCTAGGTTCTGGAGTCATTGCAAAACCAAGTATGAAACGTCAGCACTGCTGGTTTTTATCAGGTGATTTGCAGAATAGACCTCAGCTTTGAGAACTCTTCTCTGTGGTTCCTGTTGGTTTTTTTCTTGTTGCCAGTCATACTCCAACTTGACTCATAGGCAGTGTGTCCAGGTCCTATGTGAAGACTGCATAGTCCATAGGAAGTTCTTTTATGAGAATCAGCTGTACATCTGCGAGAGGATGGATTAGGTCTGACCTGATGGGTTGCTTTTCTTCTCCCATTTCTGATTAGGAAGGATTGGGTAGCATCAGTCAAGGTTGAAATAGTCCTGAGTTAGGTAAAAGTGAATAGTTGGATGAATGACTAGTTTTTTGTTTTCTTTTTGTTGTGTGGTTTGATTTGGTTTGTGAGTTCTTGGTTGTTGGTTTGTGTTTTTTTTTAACTTAAGGCATTCAAATTATTCCATTTATTCTTTTGTTCTTTTTTCTTTCCCGCCTTGCAGGCTGTGGCCATACTTAGAACTGATGGCCTGAAGTATTTTTCATCCTGGTTTCTAAACCCTTTTTCAGTGCATTGGTTGGAGGGATGCTTAGACTGAAGGCATATCTTTTACATAGTTTACCACCTCCAGGTTACAAAAGCATTTGTTTATACTGATACTTCTTTTTGCCTTAAAAAAATAAAATGTAAGAAACACCTTTGTTCTTTGAACACCTTTCAGATTTTGTGTCTTGCGGTGGTGTTTGTGTGCGTGTGCATATATTTCAAAAAGAAAGAGAAGGAAAACTAGCTCCAGTGCTGGTCGTCTTTGTGAGTAATCTTTGATCTCGATGAGGTGGCGATGACTAGGAATGTCATCATCTCATGGTTGTTTTTTTTCTTGGTTTGGTTCCTGCTTTTTCATACTGTCACATTTCCAACTATGTGTGTTCCCTGCCATCCTGCAGCAGCTTCCTCAAAAAGCACACGTCCGTTCAAGGCATCATCTTACAGTTAGCAGTTAGAAGTTCAAGTCTCGTTACTTAGCCATTGTGAAATACTTCTTTAGGAGGATGACCAAGTGGATCTTTATAAACTCTTGCTGGTTTTGTCCCATTTGCAGTCTTTCCTCTTTTGGTTTCCACAAGTGTCTTATTCCATGCAGACTTTTCAAACCTTCCTCCATTTTTGAGTCACAGTTTTAAGCCCATCTTTAAGTCACGGTTGCTTTCCTCTGTTTCTGAGATCTTTTTCATCGTAAGATTTTTTTACTTTTTTACAGTCCACAGGTGCAAGAAATCATGATGCCTTCTGAGATGCATTTCTCTCAGCACACAGTGCTCTAGTTGCTTTCAAATTTAGGAGCTACAATAGTTTATTTAATCTCACGTTGTTACAGTTCAAAGAAATGGGAGGAAGAGTAAATTGAAAGGCAGTAAATCACAGCTGTGGGAGCTGAAAATAGTTCACCAGGTATACTAGTTTAAAATCAAAGTGATAATTTGTACGTGAGGAATGACAGTGGCTGTTTGTATAACCTTGTGATGAGCTAAAAAAACGGATTTCCTATGGAGACTTTTCTACAGTGTCATTAATCTAATCAGCTGCTCAGTATTTTGTTTGGAAATGCAGGAATGGGCTTTTGTGATGGACAAAGATGGGTTTGTTTCATTGGAAATTTGGTTCTGTTTTGTATTTTTTGTGGGTTTTGTTTTGTTTTTTCTTCTCTTTAAAAGCTTCAGAAGCTTACAGAGGTGCACTGATGGTGTGACTGCAGTGTGGGGTGCACTGCAAGTACCAGGCAGCAGCTACAGTAAAAGCACGTTATTCCAGGGATGCTTTTGTCCTTTCTTCTTTTACTTCTGCCATTAGCAGTACAGATTGCACTGTATTGATAAGGTGGAACAGATAAGCTTCAAGATATATGAAATAGTATCCAAAATCAGTGTCAGTCTGGGTGTCCTGTGTATTCAAAGAAAATGAATGTTTGAAGATCAGTTCTTTGTTCCAATTCAGGCTTTGGAATTGCAGGTTTCTCACCTTTGTCACCCTTGCTGGGCAGGTGACAAATCTGGCTCACATGTTGGAGCCACTCAAGCTGCTCGGATCTTGAGCTCAGACTGAAAAATGTTCAGTCAGAGCTGATGTTGATTTTTTTTTTTTTTCCTGACATTTTTATTCCAGAGATCTCTGCTTTGAAAGTTTCTTTTATGGGTTACTTGGAGTGTGGCAAAGACTTTGTAAGTTATTGCTTGGAGCAGGTTACAGTAGGCCCAGCAGTTCTCATTTCTAAACTTACCTTTCTTCTTTAGACTTGCTTCTGTCCCCCTCAATCTTTTTGTTGCCTTTCCAACACCTTTCCTTGTTTCTCTGATTTAAAAGCCTAGAAAACAAACAAGAAAATAGGCAAGTTTAAGTTCTAGCAGCTAGCATTACCTGCATTGTCTGGGTGCACTTAAATGATGGCAGTGAACCTGAGTCACAACTGGAATCAGCCCTTAAGTTGTCTTCCTCACATGCTGAAAAACAAAATTATGAGCAGCAGTGCAGTATCTTTGTGTTCCCTATTAAGATGCTTTGAGAGCAGTGGGGTACGATGTGATTTTCAGCCAGGGGCCAGATGAGTCCTTGTCAGCTCTTCTACCTTCAGTCAAGTGCTGTGAGTGCAGGTCTGCAGCCCAGCACAGCCAGTGCTCTCCGGCCCCACGCTGTAGTGACTTCCTTGATTTGTACTGAAAATGGTATAAGAGCAGTCATCCCTGTCACTGCCTTTGATTTTAAGCATATGGACTTTTAAATGTAAATTTTGCATATTCACTGCAGAAAAAACGTGTAGATCTTTATTTTTTCTGGTCAGGTCTCTGAGCCAGCCCATATGCCAGGGCTGTGTGCAAGGCTCGTGTAGTTAGTGTCGTGTCTGTAACCTGTATGCAGATGGCAGAGCTTTAAGCCGCGTTAAAATCGCTTGTTAGTAACATTTAATTGTGGCTGAATTTATCCCTTGTGTTAACATGTCTCAGTATTCAGCATTTATTGCCCCCATGAGAAGCCTACGAATACACTAAATACTAATTCATCAACAGTGCAGCGTTTCATATCGATAACTTGATTTCATTTTTGCGAGATACTAATTGTAGTCTCGTCTTGCTCTACTAAGGGTGCTTTCGATTTCATTTTATTTTTTGTGGATAGTGCATGATTTACTGTATAGATCATATTGCATGTCATTGATGCATGTTTGAAATTTGTTGTGTCCTTCAAGGCATGATAAGTGGCTATCCACCGGTGCTGCCACCTTTGCAGGGCCCAGTTGATGGCATTGTTAGCATGGGCAGCATGCAGCCACTTCACCCAGGGGTGCCCCCACCCCACCAACTCCCGCCAGGTATGCCAGGCATCCCAGGCATCCCACCGCCCGGTAAGAATTCATCCTCATTCGCTCTGTGTTTCATTGTCATGTACTTGCTGTTTAACTGGTTGTTACAGGAATTGTCTGTGGCTTGTTTTGTTCCTAGCGCAGTTGATTGTGCCTAAACTGTTGCAGGTTTGTTTAACTGCAGCACAGATGAATGCAGGGGGGTGCAAAGTGATTACATTGGCAGAATACACATCCAATAAAGGAACGGCAAAAGGCCACTGGAGAAATGTGGGGCTGCTCCAGCAGTGGCTTTGCACCAGCCAAAACAAGCCTGAGAATGGCGTGAGTTTATCAAAGGTCTGACAAACGGCAGTCAGCCCCTTCATACCCCTGTGTCATTTGAAGAGTGCTCTGCCACCCTCTCCACATTAAAGCAAAATAATTGAATTTGCAATGAGATGCACTGCTCTCCTTTCTTACTGAGCTCGTTGGCAGTGTGTTAGCTGACGCGCGTTCCGGCTGCGCTTTGATTCACCCAGCTGCATCAGAGCCCTCGGCCGCTGTGCACCACCATATGTTATAATAGAACAGTGTGCAGATTGTGCCTTGTAGCTGGAACTGGAAACTTCTGGGGGTAAGGTGAACTGGCTATGCTACTGTGACCAAATTCTTATTTTTTGAACATATGTTTATTATGCATTTGCTGGTTTTTTTGCCACCCTGTTGTTGACAGGTAAGGCTGAACAAATGATACCAAACTTTCTGGCGTTAATGCCAATAATGCCATTTGGTGGGGAAAATACACTCGCCTGCCCTCTCATTCTGTTGTCTGTGGGTTCTTCCCAGGTAGTTACCCCTGATAACTCAAATGGCCGTTAGAGATGTGCATCCCATCCATTCAGCAGTTAAACAAGCTGTGGGCAGAAGCGCTCAGTTTGTCTCCCTACCCCCTTTGCAGCTACTTTGGTCAGAAGCCCTGCTGGGGCCGTATCTGTCTGCAGATCGCTGTGATGGTTGGATGTTGTTTGCTTGCTTCTGTTTGTTTTTCAACCCGTCAATGTAAGCTTGCATCTTCACCAGCAGGCCAGATTCACCATCAATTCACATAGAGTAGAAGTGCTGTGTGTCTGAGCTTGCCTGCAACTCACCGCAGCGCTGACCTGTAAGCACACAGCTGCAGCTTACAAATGTTTGGAGGCGACTCTGGGACAATGCATTTCTTTGCACAGTGTTTCCAGCTGGGCTGTGCATGAGCAAAGCAGTGCCAGGGATGGAGGAGCACGTGGGATGTGGTCCCATGTGTTAGATGGGGCTGGGTGGGCTCAGGGCGAGGCTGTGCTGCTGGGCAGGTGAGGGTGCCCCCTCCAAACCTATTCACTTCGTACCAAAACAAAGATCAGTGCTATATCCCACAGCTTGCATTGTCAGTGTTTTTCCCAACGTCTGACTTAGTACAGATGCATTTAAGATGGGGGGTTGTAGTCAAATGGAAAATTAAGGTGATATGTGCTTTAGCTTGCAAAATGCAGTGACATGTCTTCTGGTCCCTGACACAGAAATCTGCCTGCAAATTCAAGCCTTAGGAAGACTCTGGTTATTTTGCAGCTTTTGAAATGAAGGAATTAAAAAAAAAATGGCATGAAGAAAAGCAGCAACATGCATGACTTTTTATGTACGTCAAATAGCAGGAGCTGCACACTGTGATTTGTATGTGGGAGGCTTCTGCTGCATGGCATGCAGTAAGGAAAAGCCTCTTCATAAAAAAAAATGGGGAAAAAGCAAACCTGCCTTTGTGGCTTTGTTTTTCAAATATTGTTCTGTCTCTCATATGAGACTATTTAAGCTGAACCTGTAAGTGGCATCTTATTTATGTACATATTTACATACAGAATCTATGCAGTGGCTTGGCTTTCTTCCTGCCACGGTTGTATTTTATACCATTAAAAACCAGGAAATATTCAGTGTTGCTAAAGCAAATCAGCTTCTCCTTTGATGAGGATTTCAGGACGATTGTGACCAGCCAAAGGTATAACAAAGGAAATGCTGTAGTCAGGCCACACTGGGTAAAGGAAGAAAAAAAGGAGTTTGCATTTCTGCAGCTAAATGAGATTCAGCAGGGCACACATCGATGCTGGGTCGTTGTTCTGGTGCCTTTTTTTTTTTTCATTGAGAAAATTCCAAAGCGTTTTTTATTGTGGGAGAGTGGGATATTAGAATGTTCCCAAAACTGCTTTAAGCAATGATTTCAGACTATAAATTTGCACTGCAAATTTGACCAAAGCGGTATTTCTCTCTGCTCTGAAGTAAGACTAATCGTTGTATATTTTGGAATATAGGTGTTATAGGCCAAAACGTGTCCCCCATGGTAGGCACTCCAGCCCCCGGTGCAGGTCCGTTTGGACAGCAGGTGAGTGTGAGTCCTTTTTGCATTATTTATGAGGCTCCCAGGCTCTGGATTAGCATTGCAACAATTAAGACGTGTAAGGAATGCACACAGCCTTATGCAGAGAGAACAGAAGCCACAGATGCACAGGGCTATATTCAGAACCAGTTAATACCTCTCTCTCGGTGCCTGTTTGTATTTCTTGGTTGAATTGTTATTAGACTAATTGGGTTCTGCCCAGTGAGGTAAGTTCTGCAAAATAAGCAAAACAGGCTTCTTTTCCTTTCTGCTGAGCTAATATAAGTCACGTAAACACACAGCTAAGCTGCTGGCAGAGGGGATGCTGTCTGTTTTCTCAGCCGTGGCTAAATGGATAAAAACTGCTTATTTTCTCCCAGATTTCACAAACCAACAATGCAGATGTTCACTGGCCATTTACATCTGGTAGTTTTGATGCCAGTGATGATCAGATGTTCATTCTTGATGTAGATTAAATGTTCATCACACTGAGTTTTAAGGACTGCACTTGCATTTGGTGAGAGGGTGTAAAGAAGAACAGAAATTGAGTGAGAAGGCAATAGAGCGAGTATGTCATTTCAGTGAGTTCCTTAAACCATGGGTTGGCTCTGCTAAGAGTTCTCAGTACTGCAGGTGAATGGCAGCAGTGGGAATTCCATAGTTTGGGGACTTTTGTGTGACTGCAGTTTTTGTCTGACCGAGATTAGTATTTATTCTGTGGAAGCATCCTGGTCTTCCAAGGATGAGGATTGCTTTGGTGATATGTTATAGAGAGCTCTAAAGCAAGCTAAGCTCCGCACTTTGCACATCACAGATTTTCTAGTCAAATTTCAGAAGGCATGAAATAAAAATGATGCAAGGGGAGTAATTAAGGAGAGTGGGAGAGAAGAGAAATGGTGGTAGTGATGAGAAGCTGCCTTCTGTTAAATGAGGTTTGTTCACACATCTCTCTGTATGTGTCAGTGACCTCAACAGGTAAGGCTGCCTGGAGGAGGTTGCCTTCTAGGGAAATCTCTTACACCTTTGGTTATAACCAAAGTTCTGCTGTGTGAGGATGCTGTGAGGCAGTGTGAACCATCCCTGCAGCTCCCCCAGATGCCATCTCTCCATCGCTTTGCCGTTGCAGATAGGAATCCTCGGTCCTCCAGGACAGCAGGCACCTCCCCCGTATCCCGGCCAGAGCCCCGCCACGCAGCCTGTTATGCAGCAGCCCTCGACTCCCATGTTTGTTTCCCCTCCACCAAAGACACAGAGGCTTCTTCATTCCGAAGCCTATCTGAAATACATCGAGGGGCTCAGTGCTGAATCAAACAGTATTAGCAAGTGGGACCAGACCCTTGCAGGTAAGGTTTTTGGCGCAGAACGGGGTGTTTCCGTCTGGAACTCACTTCCTTGTAACTGAATACTCGTGGCTTCCATGGAAAATACCAAATTAATCTGCTGATTATTTCACAATTGCGTGCGTGTGTCAGTTTCATTAAAATCCACAGACAGGGAATATATGCTGCCAGTGGACTAATTCCATCACTGGGTATAAATCTAATTATCCACTGCATGTGCTCGAATAAAAGAAATAGCGAAGAATTATTTCCTTTTTTTTTTCCCCTTAGAAAAATGCTGGCAAATATGAAGGGCAAAGCCAGCTTAGCAAAGCCAGCAGATAACAAGGCTGTTTGTTCCCCTTTCAGCACGAAGACGAGACGTCCACTTGTCCAAGGAGCAGGAGAGCCGCCTCCCGTCGCACTGGCTGAAAAGCAAAGGGGCTCACACCACCATGGCCGATGCTTTGTGGCGCCTGCGAGACTTGATGCTGCGAGACACCCTGAACATCCGTCAGGCGTACAACATAGAAAATGTGTAGTCGCGTTCTTGCTTCTTTCTTTGATACTGGCATATAGAGTTTTGTGGAACAATAGCTGTTTTAGTTACTGGGTGGGGAGAGATAACCAACGATGATTTGTATTGCATTTTACTGTACATTGCGAGACCATTTTTATATAAGGACACTTTTAATAAGCATATTTCACTTTTTGTTATATTAAGTTGACTTTATCAAATACACAGATTTTTGCATATGCTTCCTTTGTTTGAAAGGCGATTTCATATTTGGTTAACTGTAGTCGAGGATTCATCTTTCTTACACTTTATTGCTGAGAATCTGATGCCATTGTTTTTATATAAAAGAAGAAAAAAAGAAAACAAAGTATTTACAGGTTGGTACAATGGAATGTGAAATTAGTCATAGTTTACATCCTAGAGGAATGTGTGTACATGTGCTTGTGTGTGCTAGGCGCTCCCAGCAGGAAGCTGACTTGGATATGAGCAGGGAGGATCTCTTTGAAAGAAGCTGAAGGTAAGGTGAGCATTGGAGCTAGGGAAAAACCACGTTGCAGGTAAATACTGAGGCAGCTGAATGGGCCACAGCGATCGTGGAAGTGCAGGTGCAGATATGGGACAAGGCTAACCTGACTGCTAATGCTGTCCAGTCTTGTCCAGGCATTAAAGCTGCAGCCAAGGCCACTGTGACCCCAGATCAGTAGCAGAATACGTGTGCTGGCATGCCTGCGGGAGGTGAAATCTTTCGTCTGCTATGACCTGCTTTGGGTGTTCTGAGATGTCCCTGACGCTGGGCAGCAGGAAGGGAACACCTCTACCTGTGCAGTGCAGTCTGCGTGTGGGAGAGGCCACAACTTTGAACCAGTGTGGGTCATGGAAGGTAAGTTAGAGGAGAGGGGAAGCTCTTTTGTTGGTAGAGTCACATGGTTTCTAAATCATATTCTGTTAATGATTGGGCACCGTAAGACATTTTTCTATTAAGTGTATTGATTCACACTAATGAAAGTTTTACAAGGCAAAATTTGAAATGTAACACATGAATTCAGTTTCAAAACAGTACTGTAAGTTCAGCATACCTTGTGCATTGGAGACAGAGTGCGTTGTGCATTGCAGCCTTCAGAGGGCTTTGTGCTTCTGTCGTTTAGCTCAGTAAGGTCATGTAGGCTCCTCTTGCCAAATGTTGAGGTTGTGACTGCCTTTGCTGAAGACTTCACTGTAGCAAACTAACCAACCTTTTGGGCTGCAAAGCTGTTTGCTTTCACAAGCTCCACTTTAGAGCTCTTGGATTGCACAAATTAACTGGGAAAACAGCACTAATTTGAAAAGCAAACAAACAAAAAGCTGTTGGCACAAACATGGTCGCTGCAACTCAGTCCAAAAGAATAATTTGCTGATATGCTTTCATACTGCTTCTAGAAACGTTTATCATTTGGAAAGGTGTTTCAAAGTCTGCTCATACAGAGCACTTTTGAGTTCATACTGGCAGAAGGTTGCATGTTTTTCTTCAGATACTGGGTTCTGTTTGGTAATGCAATTGAATACTGATGAGGGAAGGGACAGGCAAGTATGAACTATTCTTAAATGGTACTGGCTAGTTCCCCTCCTATTCCAGCCCTACATTCCTTGCACAGAAAACCTTATAATTAGAGGTGAGCACTTAGGGACATTTTAGGACAGATGTACACTGGGATGCGAGGAAAAGGGAGCCAAGCAAAATCTTACAGGAAATTACAATGGACATCTCTACCAGTAGAGCACCTGTGGTACAGAAATCATTTACAAAGGGCAGTAAGGAACCACGTTTGTTTCATGAGGTAGGAGTACACCTAGACCTCCTGTACATACACACTGTCATCTTAGAACACATTTCAGTTACTGTAGGCTTTGCAGTTTTAGCCGCACAAATGAGACGTTGAAGCGAATCGGGCAGCAAATCCTGGTTTCCAAGCACTTGGAATTACCGTGGGTCGTAGAAATACCACCAGATGGTCTTGTTCTCAGCATGAACAAAAACTACACCAAAGAACCTGGGATGGATTTTAGTTAACTTATTGTTCTATTTATTTTCTTTGGAGGACTGGATGGGACTCCCTCTGGAGCCCGTGTAACTCAGATGTTTAATTTATCTGAAGGCCGGCGATGAGCAGACGTGCAGCACTGGCTCTGTTCTGCCCGGGCAGCCAAAATGCTGCTCCCACTGCTCTCAGTGCTCCCACTGCTCCCTGGCCCAGGGGCAAGAGGTTGGGAATCCCCACAAAGCCTGGCTCCTCCTGTTAAGGCAGTGCAGAGCGCTACCGCTGAGCCACGGGGCTGGCCCTAATCAATTCTGATAAGCTTTATTTATTTCAAAATCCTGTCTCTGCATAGGAGACTTTTCAGTTGATGGCAGGAAGGTTTGGGATATGATGGCTACAGTCTAGAATTCAAAACCAGCAGAAGAAACTGTTTTTTGACTCTGGTTTAAAAACAAGGAAAGACGTCTGTCTGTCTTTTCCTCTCTTTGTGGGCATTTGAACCCCTCATTTGTTTTCCTCTGCTTTTCACTGTATCGGCATAAATGAAACTTTCCTATCGAAATAAATGTATGTGTGGGAAATGGTTGGCTTCTGAGAGAGTGGAAACAGATCGACCTAGGACCGGCGTTTTCATAAACCAGTTGGAGATGAGTAATAATTATTTGTTCTCTTCCTCAGCTCTTCTCTTCTATGAGAAAATTTACCATTTCTGTAAGAAAAAAAAACAAAAAAAAAAAGTTGATGTTGGTGACTTTTTTTTCAGCTCATGGTTTCAGACCTGGTCAGTCCCTGTTTGGCTGCTCATTCCATCTTGTACTCCCGAGGGTTAAGCTGATAACCAGGTGTGTAACATGTATGTACCATCACTTTGTTTACCTGAGTCTTTTTAATTTGAATAAAAATAGTTTGCAAAGTGTTTTGGATTAACCAGGTTTGAGTGTCCCATCGAGGCTTCTGGTGGGATTTTCCTTCAAGTAACTCTGGTTGGTGCTGACGCTATGGAATCCTCCCTGTGTGCATGCATGTGTGTGGGTGAAGAATCTTTTTCTGTTCTCCTGTGTGTTGCGAGACTCTTCTGCTGCTGCTAAGAAGAGTGGCGTTGAAAAATGAGCTGTAAGGAGCACGAAGGGAGCCCTGCAAAATACATGGTGTGCTAAGCAGGGGCGATAGGATGCGGTCAGGTCCATTTGCCTCCACATTAACTGCTTTGGAAATAAACAGCAAGCCTTAATTTCGTGCTGGAAGCTAACCTGGTTCAGGACTTCTTTGACGTAGCTGGATAATGAAGGGAATTAGAAAAGCAATGTGGAAAACGCATCTTTTACCCAATAAAATTGAAAACTGGGATGGAAGTTCTCTTTGGTAACAACAACAGCAAGAGAAATTAAATGACAGCAGCCTTCTTTTGTGTTGGGGAGCCTCTGCCATGCTTTGCAGAGAGCTACTTAACCAGAACACGCTTACTGTTCCATTTAATTAACACGCATTAATGCCTTTCACCCAAGGGTTGAACACTGCCTGGCACGCAGAACTGCCACCCTCCTAGAAGCTCACGGGGAGGCACACAGGGAGACTAATTCAGGTCATTCTTCACGTAGTATTTGGTCAGCGTGAAGTTCTGGAGGTCACTCAGATCTGCCCAGCCTGCTCCCAGCACCAAACACGGAGTGGAAGTGGTGTTTCAAAGTAGCTGAGTGCTTTCAACAGCAAGGAAGGGCTTCTGGTTCACTGACAGGTCTAATGAAGGAACTCCATCTTCCTTTTGCTTGCTGCATTTTTCAGTAAGTTTAATTTGACCGTCAAACAAAAGGGACGCAAAAAGTAAATACATTAAAAAAAGAAAACAAATCAGCAGGCCTTCTGCAAGTGCCTGCAGTGCACTAGGATCCAGTGGTCCTTAGCAAAGAGTCTGCCGCTCCTTCGATCAGCTCTCCTGTTCAGAAATCCTGTGCTGTAGATGTGCAGCTTAACCTCTATCAAAGCAGGCAGCAGACAGACATGAAATCAGAAAGGAAGATCCCCAGAGTTGCACAGCAGCACCAGTTGCTACTCTGTCTCTGCTCATTTTACACAAAGGATGCTCTGCAGCCTTTGACAAAAAATGGTGATGGATGCTCTGTCCATCCCAAAGTCTGCAACCCATTTCCATCAGACGGTTTGGGGAGGACTGCAAATAATCCTCATGCTTTGTGCCAGGCACAAACACCCAAGAAGGATTTAAGGACATTCCTAGAAGTCACAGTCCTGCTGCAGGTGTCTGCACCTCTCAGGAGCAGCTGCTGCTAGCCATAACCAGAGTGCAGGTACAGCTTGGGCCCCACTCACCACCCGGGAAGCTTTCAGCAGTGATGCTTTGCTTGTGCTCAGAGCCTCCTGCTGCGGCTGCTGCCAGAAGAACTGCTGAGTTGCTGTTTGCAGGTGCTGTGCTGGCGCCAGGTGAACTCCCTGCAGACTGAACAGATGTGCTTGAGTCCATAGCTGGCAAGGCTGACACTTAAAGCTGTGTCCTGGCTTGCTCCCGTAGCATCTAACAGAAACACTGTGTTCTCATGCTGGAATGGGAGGGAAGATTGAGGTTGGATGTCAGTGTGAGAGTGGTGAGGTGCTGGAACAGCTGCCCAGAAAGGCTGTGAATGCCCCGTCCCTGGAGGTGTTCAAGGCCAGGTTGGATGGGGCCCTGGGCAGCCTGGTCTGGTATGAAATGTGGAGGTTGGTGGCCCTGCCTGTGGCAGGGGGTTGGAGCTTCGTGATCCTTGAGGTCCCTTCCAACACAAACCATTCTGTGATTCTGCGAATGAGCAGCAATCCTTCAACCCAAAGAGTGGGTGTGGAGTAAAACCGATCCAAAATCCCCACCAGGAGTGCTTGGCACTGGAATGGATCAGCAGAGCTCAGCTGCTCTGCTTCTAGCATTCATCATCTTCTGTCACTGCAATTCCGTGTTGCCTCGTGGCTGAAATGGTACAGAGTCGGCTCAGAGGATTCTCTCCTGCATGAAGACTGGCACTGCTGAACTCCCCACTAAGAACTCCTTGTGAGCCACTGGCACTCCTGTCTTTCTGTGTTCCTTAACTGGAGACGCTGAAGCCAACTTGCTATGTGCCTGGTGAATTCACTGTGGTGGATTAAGAAAGCTCTGATGCAATAAATTGGATGTTCATTTGCTGAGACACCACTACTGGTATGGGAGTGCTATGAGAAGTCACAGGGAGAATGTCCATAGCAGGTGGAGTGCTGAGATGCTGCTGGTGCACAAGGCTTTCTTAAAAAAATGGAGAAAAAATGAGAAAACAAAGCAGCAGCACAAAAAATGCCCAAAGGCTTTAAAGGTAGATGGAACTGAAGTACAACAGCGCTTCAGTATGAAGTACAGCACAAAGTCAGGCTGTGAGGTGCCCACCCCTGGAGGTGCCCCAGTGGCCTCAGTCCTCCTGATCAAGGCCTTGGAGCACAGCAGCATCGTGGCTTCCTTCCCTTGCATCAACCTTTTCTTCCCCTCTGCCCACGCATCACTTCGTAAGAGCCACCACTGCAGGCAGCACAGCAGAGCAAGGCACAAATGATTTTCCAAAGCAGTGCAGGCAGAACAAACACCGAGCTGTACGCCTGTCCTATGGAACCGAGTTGGAATTGCACTACACTGTAAAGAACACTAACTGGACACAATAGCAGCCTCCACCAGTCCAGAGGAATCTAATGGAAACGGAACGCTTCCTTCCTGCCACGATGCATCCATGGCATACAGCTTAGCATACCCTGGTGTTTTCAGAATGGTGTCTGCTCGAGCAAAGAGAAGCAGCAGCCAGACTGTGCACTCATTGCAGTTTATTTAGAAGTTCCAACCAACATTCAATCGATGGCAAAGGCTGAAACCCGATGAATTCGGTTAAATACAAAAGAGTGCAGCACAACCTGCTAACAAACACCACCGAGTGCCAGCCGGCAGCTCCTCGCGCACAGACCCCTCCCGCCCAGCACATCGCAGCAGTGCTTCTATCGCACAAAGTGCAGACACTGAGATGCGTCCCTTGGAGCCTTCAGCTAAGATTCGCTCTTTTCCATCCTCGCCTTGTACTGTCTTTCAGATCGCTTCCTTCGGTAAACGTCATCTGTGCCAGAAAAAGGCTTCGTAAGCTCTTCCAAGAGGAACACGACCCCGATCCTGCCCCAGCTCGGCCGGGCTGAAGGGACCTCACAGCGCAGCCCCACCGCTGCCCGCAGCCCAGGCTGCTCCCGCGCTCCGGTCACTCACAGAACGTCTCCTTGCCGATGCGGACGTTGATCATGAACCATTCCATGGCCCCGCCGAGGACGAAGAAGAAGGGCAGCAGGCGGTACGCGCCGAACCGCTCCCGGCCGGGCACCAACCGCAGCAGGCGCCGCAGCCGGCGGCTGATCAGCATGGCCGGGTCACCTAGCAAAGAGGAGGGGAGCGCGGGGCGATGCGTGAAGGTCAGCGGGAAGCCGGCCGGGACGGCGCCCTGCTCTGCCGCCTCCGGCCCGCCGAAGGCCGCAGCCAATCAGCGCGGCGCGACCCCACGCCCCTCACCTCCTCGGGACGGCGTGCCGGAAGGACGCGCTCGGCGTCACGTGACGAGCGGCGTGCCGGCGCCCGTTTCCGATTGGCCGCGGCGGCTCCGGGGGCGGGGCCGCGCCGGGAGGCCGCCGCCCACCCCGCCCCGCCCCTCCCGGC